CAACTGCGCGATACCACCCACTGCCGCAGCTTGCATTCTGCTGATTGCAATACAGACCATGCCCTTGTTCGCTGTAAGCTTCGTTTACTACCCAAGAAGTTCCATCGTGCAACACATAGACCATTGCCTGCTATTGACACTGTCTCAACTCACGACATCAGTCATACTACTCAGTTTCAAGAGCTCCTTTCTGGTAACTTCAGCTCAGCACCAATCTCTGCCAACCCTGAAGGTGCTTGGTGCACAGTCAGGTTGCTCACGAAAGCAACCTGACTGGTTCCGGGACAGCGCGGACATACTGCTCCCTGCACTAGAGAACAAACGGTCAGCCAGAAACAAATGCCGCTTGATCAACACACGCTCCTCAAAAGCTGCCCTTCGGGCTGCCAAGAGCACTGTCCAGCGTCTTACTCGAGCAGCTTTGCAACCCTACTGGTCTCACCTGAGTGATCGCATCCAACGTTGTGCCGACTCTGGTGATCTACGCAGCTTGTACCAAGGCATTAAGGAGGCAATTGGTCCTACCCCAAAGAAATCTGCTCCTTTACTGTCGTCCACTGGTGCCATCCTCACAGACCAAACAGCACAGCTTGACCGGTGGGTAGAGCACTATAGCTCACTTTACAACAGCGATGCTGCAGTCAGTACTTCTGCAATATCTGCCTTACCTCAGCTTCCCATCCTGAAAGAGCTGGACAATTCCATCACCTTGGATGAAGTGAAACATGCCATCAACGGCTTAAAGAACAACAAGGCTCCTGGCACTGATAGCATCCCTCCAGAGGTACTTAAGAAGGGTGGTAATATCTTGGCTGCAGAGCTCCACGCTGTTCTCCTGACCTGCTGGCAATCCCAGTAAATATCACAGGATCTAAAGGATGCAAACATCATAACCCTCTACAAAAACAAAGGTAACCGACAAGACTGCAATAACTACAGAGGCATCTCACTGCTGTGCTTAGCTGGGAAGGTTTTTGCTCGAGTGCTGTTACCTCGGCTACAGGTCATTGCCAACAGAATCCTTCCCGAAAGCCAGTGTGGCTTTCGCCCATCCCGCTCCACTGTTGACATGGTGTTTTCCTTGAGACAACTCCAGGAGAAGTGTGTTGAACAGCGGCGACCTCTGTACATGGTCTTCATCTTGACTAAGGCCTTTGATAACGTGAGTCGTTCAGGCCTGTTTTCCATCCTAAAGCGCTTGGGCTGCCCAGATAGGCTTTTGTCTATTCTGATGGGTTTTCATGACGACATGCACGCCACAGTCCAGTTCAATGACTCAAGATCTGCTAAGTTTGAAGTTCGTCGGGGCGTCAAGCAGGGGTGTGTACTTGCTCCTACCCTGTTTGGGATCTTTTTCTCAGCCCTGCTACACCGTGCATTTCCCGAACCATCTGGTATCCTACTTCACACACGCAGCTCCGGGAATTTCTTCGACCTGTCCCGTCTCCGTGCCAGGACGAAGATTCGGCATGTTCTCATCCGGGAACTCCTGTATGCTGACGATGCTGCCATTGTTGCCCACTCAGCAGATGAGCTTCAACATCTCTGCAACTCATTTGCCAGTGCTTGCTCGGAGTTTGGCATGATCATCAGCCTTGGCAAGACAATGGTGTTATCGCAAGGCCCAGGTCCCCCTCCCATGATCACCATCAATGGCACACCTCTGAGCGTGGTCAACAAATTTCAATATCTGGGTTCTACAGTTACCAGCACCAACTCCCTGGATACCGAACTTGACTCCCGAATAGGTAGGGCTGCAACCACCTTTGGCCGACTCCGTGCTCGTGTTTGGGACAACCGGGCCCTTTCCATCAAGCTGAAGATTCGCATCTACGTATCCTGTGTGCTTAGTGTGCTACTCTACTGCAGTGAATCATGGCCGACCTACCGCCGTCAGGAACGTCGACTGAGCGCGTTCCATTTCCGCTGCCTACGTTCAATTCTTGGAATCTCCTGGCAAGACCGAGTCTCAAACCCTGCCATTCTTGAGCTCACAGGAGTCAACGACATGCTCACATTGCTGTCAGCTCGCCGCCTTCGTTGGTCTGGTCATGTCTGCAGACAAGAGGACGGTCGACTGCCGAAGGACATCTTCTTTGGGGAGCTGGCTCATGCTCCTCGCCCCTGTGGTCGTCCAAAACTCCGTTACAAGGATGTTCTAAAGCGTGATCTGCGAACCTTCCAAATTCCAGTCACCTCCTGGCAGACCGTGGTGCAGGACCGCACTCGTTGGCGATCCGCTGTCCATCTTGGCTGCTCTGCTTCCTCTGCCGCCTATATTGCTGATTGCGAGAATTGTCGTGCAGCTAGACACCGAGCTACATTGTCGTATTCGACGGGATAGGCCAGTACAGTGACAACATTTTTAGAGTTGCTGCACCATTCCAAAGAAAGTCCGAAAAAATAATTTTCAGAATGGCGGGCTGAGGTGATTCAACCACTGTGTGTCTTGTCTATGGTTATTCTGTTATCTGTCCGTTTTGTGTGTGTTTCCCACTGTTTGTGTAAGTCTTTTCTAAGTCTCTTTATCGTGGCCGTCTCGCTGTTGCTTTACTGTGTCTGTCCGTCTTAACCTGCCTGTTTTAGACAACTTATTTCAATTGTTCACCTAGTTATTTTAAAGGTTTTTCTTGTATAAGTTTGAGTTTGTTCTTAAATTTTAACTGGTTCATTTTTATTTATGTGAAGTGCCTTGAGCGTCAATTTTGACGGATTTGGCACTATACAAGAATTTGATATTTTATGTTTAGATTATTTAAAACAATGGGCCGCTATATGCCAAGTTTGATAAGTTGAATGCACAGCTGCACAACAACTTTGCTCTGCAAGTGGAGTTTTTCTGATCCTACACTGCTAGTATTGACTCCACGCACAAGTACCCCCCTGAACGGTAAGAAAGGGAGAGTTTGGGGAGACCACTGGTTTACAACTTCTAAGGTGTTAGCACCTGAAGCTAATTGGTGGTTCATTGGGGGGTTGGGGAGGGGACAGGCCCGTTGCCAAGTGGGGACCAGGGGGGCCCCGAGCAACTCGGCCTTACTCGTGACTCGGCCCGACTCAAGTCACATTGGAAAATGACTCGTGACTTGGACTCGACCATGATGACTCGGACTCGAGCTTAGAGTCACGTATTTTCATCCATATATATAATGTTACGTATTTGCACGATGAACTATTCTTTTTTACTCCATAGGCAAAACACGGCAAATCGGAAAATCATATCTAGTGGCCGTGCACGCACACAGTGCCTGCACGACGAGCACCAGGGCAGAGTATCATACCAAAAAGTGTCCGGTACCAAAAAGTATCTGCTTACGGCAATGCTAATACTAGGCTGGGGATTTTTGAGCTAGGGATTTACTTAAAAGACAGAATGGATGATTGAACAACAAATTTTTAAAAAATGATTAGTTTGGTGAAAAACTAAGAACAAGTGACTCATGACTCAGACTCATGACTCGAACTCTGGGCTTGTGACTTAGGACTCGGACTCGACGTTGGTGAATCGACTACAACACTGAAGTACATTGAGAAAGGCAGTCGGACGGTTGCCGAAAGCTGTGATAGAATTTTCCCGTAAGTGCAGGTGTACAAGAATCAACTATATTATGACTGATCCTCAGCAAAAGAACCTTCATGTCATTAATATTTTCAGTGTCCGCAATAAGCGGTATCGCATCGCAATTTGCGACACATTCGAGGCCGACTGCGACACAATTTTTAAAGTGCATTGCAAAACTGCTATACAACAATTTGATCATGAAAAGTTGATACAAAGTGTACTTGCCACCAAATTTCGGTCCACTGAATTCCACAACTATCGGACATGGTAAACATCCATCATGTTTTGATTTAGTTAAGCTTAAATACTGAAAAAGAACGTCAATTTTGTTCAGCTGTATAAAATCTGTACGTGTTTAGTTTGTAAGTAGGCGGCGTCTGATTGGCCAATAACGAGACCACGTGATAAACGCAGCTAATAATTTGGAATCGCACTTATGATCCGGACATCAGGAATGCCCGGAGCGTCAGTGCGATACCAAATTATCCGCAGCATGTATCACGTGGTAAATCACGTGCATGATCGGAGGAAGTTGCAGGACGTACGTCGAGATTTTACCTCGTACTTTGAATCTGCTGCGACTGTGCGAGGAATAATATATGGATTTATAAAAGAAATAACACGTTTGTACACTATCTGGTCAAGTATTCAACAAACTAACAAACAAACTTTATTCTTATTCTCTCTCACTGGTAAATATATGCATGAAATGAGTATTTTGGTGGCTAAAAAAGTTACATGCACGTTGTGCATGCTCAGTAAAAAAGCTACATGCACAAGCAAAAATCTACATGCACTGGTGCATGCGTGCACCCGGGTAAATCGAGCCCTTTTTTCATCACTATTCTTTAGATATTTGTCGGTTTATCTTAAACATTTTGCCGACACGGAAAAACGGATTTACCCCTTCAAGTAAATCACTTGATACGCACGTGGGATTTGAGGGAACTGAAACGTCAAAATCCCAGTTGTGTTGTCGTTTGTGCGCTGTGTAGCATATTGATGAAAACATCGCTACTACAAAAACTACCGGTATCAAGGCAAATACTGCCAATAATTGGCAGGAGGATCTAGACCCGGGCCAGGAATGGCCCCGGTTAATAACTTGCTTTTTCACTCAAAAGTTATTCCAGCAAGCATGCAGCTCCTGAAATAAACAGACAACTGATGAGTCATTGAGTTCACAGCTTAACGTAAGTTACTTCTTTATTGCTTCGTAATTTGTACAGTCTGACACTGACAGGCAAATAGTAATTGCAAAGCCGAGGCTAAATTTGAGTAATACAAAACTGCTATGCAAACTTGGTAAACTGCTATGCAAATCAAAATTGGCATAGAAGTTTTGCTATACAAAAAAAAAAATCCTTAAGGCTTACCCTGAATATTTTACTTCATTTGAGATATAATCACAAAAAAAGACAACCCGATATGAATTTACCTGCAGCTGGGGGGCTCTTTGCCTTGTCTTTGTCACTGATCGGCACCTCTTCATATGCTGACTCCTCAGCAGCTGAAATAAAATAAGTCACGCAGAGGAATGTAAATGCTCCTACAATTTCAACTTTCTCTGTTAAGTCATCACTTTCTGTAAATGCTTGAGCATCATCAACTATTATAAAAGAAGACTACACGGACCAGCTTTAACAGGCTTGTACAAGCCCTCTAATTAGGGGTCTAGGTTTTGTAGGGGTCTATGTTGTGGGAGTCCTTAGGATCCAAAGAGACCTTTTGGGTCACAGTGAGGTTCAATCACGACTCATTGACAGTCAGTGAGTCAGTCAGATACAATGAGGACACGAGGCTGAACCACCAAAACTAGATTAAAAGTGTACTTCAATACTCATTGGCTGTTTCGGCACTTTTGCCGAAACAGCCTTTGTTTTCGTTCAGATTTTTGTGTTTTACTTGATTTTTTTTCTTTTTCAAGTCATTTTGCCCATAGCATTTTTGCACGATTTTTTGTCCCCGGCACTTTGGACACTAAAATCAATCCGATTGCCTTGATACTTGGCACACACTTGAACCAGCACCTGAAGTTGTGTGCTGAACATTGACGTCATCGTGACGTCATCATGAGTCACATGACGTGACATTATATGCGATTTTTCTGTTGTGACCATTTTCTAGCAGAATTTGGCTAGATCTGACAGATTGGGCTATATCTCCAGAATTACAGGTTCGATTGGGTTGAAAGTTGGTATGTACCTAGACCAGGATGTCTTATAGATGAAAAATCACTTGACGTCATGATGACGTCATCACGTGACATATGACATCATCTAATATAAACATATTTTGAAGGCCTATATCTCCTGAACTACAGGTCCGATGGGGTTGAAAGTTGGCATGTGCCTAGACTGAGAGATGTTATAGTTGAAAATTGAAGTGACGTCACGATGACGTCATCATGGGTCGCGTGACGTCACATTAAAGATTAATAGATCTTTGAAAATCAATATAAAATCAACTGTGAGAGACCTGAACTTAACGTTTGCGGGAATCGATAGAATAATCCAGGGTCTTAATTTTTTATATTATGTGCAAATCATGTGACCCTTCCTTCTGGTTGAAACCGGAAGTGCCTTGTAATTTGAAATTGAGGAAAGATGTGAACTTGCTTTCAACGATATATGCTATGGCTAAGTTGTTATTTACAAACAAAAATATAGTTATAGATGAAAATTGATGTGACGTCGTCATGAGGTCATCACATCACATGTAACATCAAAATTCAAAGCCCTATGAGAATGTAATCTTATATTATACCCACCAGTTATTATCAACAGTACTACACATCCCTCCTGGATGGAACTTATACTTGAAACTTTACATGTCACATGTCACAAAAAAATACCAAAACAGCCCTGTGTTTGTCCACAAACATAAGTCTAGTTAGTTCATTATTGGCCTTATTGTTCAGGTTAACTCCAGTAGCCGCGCAACTCTGCTTGCACCACAATCTATTGCGTTAGCTGCGCAACATTTCACGTTGCGCAACATTGTACTTATGACACATTTCAAGAAAGTCTCACAGTGCATAAGTCTGCTACTTGCGCAATATATTATGGCGTAACTTGCGCAATCAACTTACATGTAGGTGGCGTAAGTTGTGGCGTACGACTGAACATGACCTATTTAACCAGCAAATCGTAAGCGTCGTGGAGCCTGTTATTGCACAACTTATCAAGATTGATACAAGACACTGACAGCTTCTTGTTTGAGGTTACTGAATTTCTATTTTACTAGTGACAACATTTTTAGAGTTGCTGCACCATTCCAAAGAAAGTCCAAAAAAAATATTTTTCAGAATGGCGGGCTGGGGTGATTCAACCACTGTGTGTCTTGTCTATGGTTATTCTGTTATCTGTCCGTTTTGTGTGTGTTTCTCACTGTTTGTGTAAGTCTTTTCTAAGTCTCTTTATCGTGGCCGTCTCACTGTTGCTTTACTGTGTCTGTCCGTCTTTACCTGCCTGTTTTAGACAACTTATTTCAATTGTTCACCTAGTTATTTTAAAGGTTTTTCTTGTATAAGTTTGAGTTTGTTCTTAAATTTTAACTGGTTCATTTTTATTGATGTGAAGCGCCTTGAGCGTCAATTTTGACGGATTTGGCACTATACAAGAATTTGATATTTTATGTTTAGATTATTTAAAACAATGGGCCGCTATATGCCAAGTTTGGTAAGTTGAATGCACAGCTGCACAACAACTTTGCTCTGCAAGTCTTACGCATGGCACAAACTACGCACTTTTTCCTGAAATCAGCTGCTGGTCTAAATTACACACACAATGCTTAGCTTCAGTTGGAATTAGTTACAAAGACTAGACTGGTCCTCCAGACTGGTCCTCTGGGCTAGCAAAAACCAATTCTTGGAAAACATGTTTAAAGCCGGTCTTAAAACTCATAAATTGTCATCTGTACCTCTGGATGATGGAGGAACATATTTCTTGGGTTTCTTCATTGCTGTGTAGTCATCTGGTGGTAAAACAAACAAATGGAATATCAATAATATTAGAATCGTAGGTGGGCTTGGTTGGTGGCCTCAGGCTACGTCATAAGATGGAATTTGCATCAATATCGAATTCTGCCCTTTACCAAAGTAATTATTTTAGTAAAAACTGTACACTCAGTATTGTTCCGATCACTTGGGTGATTAACGTGGGTGATAACTCACAATTACTGGGGACAACACTGAGTATACAGTGTATATCAAGTGTCGGTGGACGGCAAAACCAAATATTGAATTCTCGTCCTCTTTACTAGACCATGTTTGGAACTACACATGCGCCTATGCAAGGGCGTTGATAGAAATGAAATAATAACAGATTAGTCTGACTGGATGATGAAATTGACTGCAATAGGGTGTGAACCTGCGACCCCCAGAATACCATAACAGACACAGTGGAGTTTTTCTGATCCTACACTGCTAGTATGGACTCCACGCACAAGTACTCCCCTGAACTGTAAGAAAGGGAGAGGGCTTGTGACTTAAGACTCGGACTCGATGTTGGTGACTCGACCACAACACTGAAGTACATTGAGAAAGGCAGTCGGACGGTTGCCAAAAGCTGTGATAGAATTTTCCCGTAAGTGCAGGTGTACAAGAATCAACTATATTATGACTGATCCTCAGCAAAAGAACCTTCATGTCATTAATATTTTCAGTGTCCGCAATAAGCGGTATCGCATCGCAATTTGCGACACCTTCGAGGCCGACTGCGACGCAATTTTTAAAGTGCATTGCGAAACTGCTATACAACATTTTGATCGTGAAAAGTTGATACAAAGTGTACTTGCCACCAAATTTCGGTCCACTGAATTCCACAACTATCTGACATGGTAAACATCCATCATGTTTTGATTTAGTTAAGCTTAAATACTGAAAAAGAACGTCAATTTTGTTCAGCTGTATAAAATCTATACGTGTTTAGTTTGTAAATAGGCGGCGTCTGATTGGCCAATAACGAGACCACGTGATAAACGCAGCTAATAATTTGGAATCGCACTTATGATCCGGACATCAGGAATGCCCGGAGCGTCAGTGCGATACCAAATTATCCGCAGCATGTATCACGTGGTAAATCACATGCATGATCGGAGGAAGTTGTAGGACGTACGTCGAGATTTTACCTCGTACTTTGAATCTGCTGCGACTGTGCGAGGAATAATATATGGATTTATAAAAGAAATAACACGTTTGTACACTATCTGGTCAAGTATTCAACAAACTAACAAACAAACTTTATTCTTATTCTCACTCACTGGTAAATATATGCATGAAATGAGTATTTTGGTGGCTAAAAAAGTTACATGCACGTCGTGCATGCTCAGTAAAAAAGCTACGTGCACAAGCAAAAATCTACATGCACTGGTGCATGCGTGCACCCGGGTAAATCGAGCCCTTTTTTCATCACTATTCTTTAGATATTTGTCGGTTTATCTTGAACATTTTGCCGACACGGAAAAACGGGTTTACCCCTTCAAGTAAATCACTTGATACGCACGTGGGATTCGAGGGAACTGAAACGTCAAAATCCCAGTTGTGTTGTCGTTTGTGCGCTGTGTAGCATATTGATGAAAACATTGCTACTACAAAAACTACCGGTATCAAGGCAAATACTGCCAATAATTGGCAGGCGGATCTAGACCCTGGCCAGGAATGGCCCCGGTTAATAACTTGCTTTTTCACTCAAAAGTTATTCCAGCAAGCATGCAGCTCCTGAAATAAACAGACAACTGATGAGTCATTAAGTTCACAGCTTAACGTAAGTTACTTCTTTATTGCTTCGTAATTTGTACAGTCTGACACTGACAGGTAAATAGTAATTGCAAAGCCGAGGCTAAATTTGAGTATAACAAAACTGCTATGCAAACTTGGTAAACTGCTATGCAAATCAAAATTGGCATAGAAGTTTTGCTATACAAAAAAAAAATCCTTAAGGCTTACCCTGAATATTTTACTTCATTTGAGATATAATCACAAAAAAAGACAACCCGATATGAATTTACCTGCAGCTGGGGGGCTCTTTGTCTTGTCTTTGTCACTGATCAGCACCTCTTCATATGCTGACTCCTCAGCAGCTGAAATAAAATAAGTCATGCAGAGGAATGTAAATGCTCCTACAATTTCAACTTTCTTTGTTAAGTCATCACTTTCTGTAAATGCCTGAGCATCATCAACTATTATAAAAGAAGACTACACGGACCAGCTTTAACAGGCTTGTACAAGCCCTCTAATTAGGGGTCTAGGTTTTGTAGGGGTCTATGTTGTGGGAGTCCTTAGGATCCAAAGAGACCTTTTGGGTCACAGTGAGGTTCAATCACGACTCATTGACAGTCAGTGAGTCAGTCAGATACAATGAGGACACGAGGCTGAACCACCAAAACTAGATTAAAAGTGTACTTCAATACTCATTGGCTGTTTCGGCACTTTTGCCGAAACAGCCTTTGTTTTCGTTCAGATTTTTGTGTTTTACTTGATTTTTTTTCTTTTTCAAGTCATTTTGCCCATAGCATTTGTGCACGTTTTTTGTCCCCGGCACTTTGGACACTAAAATCAATCCGATTGCCTTGATACTTGGCACACACTTGAACCAGCACCTGAAGTTGTGTGCTGAACATTGACGTCATCGTGACGTCATCATGAGTCACATGACGTGACATTATATGCGATTTTTCTGTTGTGACCATTTTTTAGCAGAATTTGGCTAGATCTGACAAATTGGGCTATATCTCCAAAATTACAGGTCCGATTGGGTTAAAAATTGGTATGTACCTAGACCGGGATATCTTAAGACCTGTCTGCACTGGACTTTTTTTGGTCAAACTAACCGAGACTATGGGTACTTTTCCCATTTTAAGTCCAGTGCGGACAGCCTAGGACGTTTTCCTCTCAGTTACTTTTCCTGAGTCCAGCGGTTACTTTAACTGGCCAACTGCTGCCCAGGAAAACTTCCCACACGCCCGGGAAAACCGACCAGGTCACTTTTCCCAAGACGATAAGTCCAGTGCGGACAGTGCGAGTCGGTAAAAGCGGCACAGAAAAGCGTACATCTGGCCCGAGCGCCCTGTTATGCATACAGAGACCGCACGAACCCGCCGCGTGCAGTGGCCGAACATTTTGTAGAAACACGCTGCGGTGTATCATCAAGTCCGAGCGGTAAAATCTCGTTAAAATTTATATTTCAACGGACAAATACATACACAGAGAAGAGAGATCACGTTCTGAGAATTAATTTGCAGAAATTCTCTTTCTCCACCGATGTATGTTATTTTCTACGATCCAAATTCGTCCTGATACGCTACTGTAGTCATGCATGGAACATCATGGTCCGGTACCGTACGTAGGCCGTAGTCACTGGTTCCAGGCCAACATCATAGCTTTGATCCTGTAAGCATGCGATGGGAACCAACGAATACTGATAGCACTGCTGCCGTACGGAACATCGTACAGCGGCATGGCTTCGACAACGTGCATCACAAATGCGGCAGAATTATAGGCCTTTTCATCAAGATTTAGCGTGTCAAGATGAAATAATATCGTGTAAACGATTATGTTGTGCGTGCAAATGGCGTGTGTAATATTACTGTGCGTATCGGCGGCTGAAAATGTGATCGGCAATTTGTTTTCTGTGTACGGTGAGTCATTATACTGACACTGTGACAGCTCGGTTACTTCTCCCACGCGGTCTGGGTAAATTTTCCCCGTGTCGAAAGTCCAAGTGCAGACAGTGGTCACATTTGACCATTTCTCATTTTACCATCGTTTCGGTAAACCTTCAAAAAAAAGTCCAGAGGGGACACGGCTTTATAGCTGAAAAATCACTTGATGTCATGATGACGTCATCACGTGACATATGACATCATATAATATAAACATATTTTGAAGGCCTATATCTCCTGAACTACAGGTCCGATGGGGTTGAAAGTTGGCATGTTGCTAGACTGAGATATGTTATAGTTGAAAATTGAAGTGACATCACAATGACGTCATCATGGGTCAGGTGACGTCACGTTAAAGATTAATAGATCTTTGAAAATCAATATCAAATCAACTGTGAAAGACAACCCGATATGAATTTACCTGCAGCAGGGGGGCTCTTTGCCTTGTCTTTGTCACTGATCTGTATCTCTTCATATGCTGACTCCTCAGCAGCTGAAATAAAATAAGTCACGCAGAGGAATGTAAATGCTCCTACAATTTCAACTTTCTTTGTTAAGTCATCACTTTCTGTAAATGCCTGAGCATCATCAACTGTTATAAAAGAAGACTACACGGACCAGCTTTAACAGGCTTGTACAAGCCCTCTAATTAGGGGTCTAGGTTTTGTAGGGGTCTATGTTGTGGGAGTCCTTAGGATCCAAAGAGACCTTTTGGGTCACAGTGAGGTTCAATCACGACTCATTGACAGTCAGTGAGTCAGTCAGATACAATGAGGACACGAGGCTGAACCACCAAAACTAGATTAAAAGTGTACTTCAATACTCATTGGCTGTTTCGGCACTTTTGCCAAAACAGCCTTTGTTTTCGTTAAGTGGTTTTTTTTGGCTGTTTCGGCACTTTTGCCGAAACAGCCTTTGTTTTTGTTAAGATTTTATTTATTTTATTTATTTATTTTTTTTTTTTTTTTCAGTCATTTGCCCATTGCATTTGTACACGTTTTTTTGTCCCCGGCACTTTGGGCACTAAAATCGATCCAATTGCCTTTACACTCAGCACAAACTTAGACCAGCATCTGAAGTTGTGTGCCGAACATTGACGTCATGGTGACGTCATCGACTAATTTATTATAGAATTTTGAATATTTAATTTTTCCCACAGACTTTGTACACAGATTTTCAAAGGGCATTTTTAACTTTTTGCCAGTAATTCATTTGCACCAATTTTTGTCCAAGCAAAGACTCTAATTCAAACAACATTGTGTAATGATGACGTCATGATGACGTCATCCGGTGTGTATTCATAGGCAATTAAATTGTGACACTTTTAATATTTAAAAATGCATAAGAAATCAACCGTACGCGTCTGCAGCATTCTGTTACTGGCAAGTGGTAGAGTAGGTTGAGGTCTTTATTTCATTCAGTGTGTGTGAAATCACGTGACCCTTGCTTCCGATCGAAAAAGGCCGAAATTGGAAGTGGCTTATTATTTGAAAATGGTAATAGATATGAAATTGCTTTCAACGGTGCTAGTCTCTTGGCTAAAAGTATTCTTCAAATCATCTACCAATGACGTCATGCAATCTTCGAGCGCCCTCTAGCGACAGGTTGAAAATTTGCAAAAATGTATTTTGAATAGATGTCTGTGGCAAAGTTTGTCGGAATCGCCTAAATGTTGGTGTATATGATGACCTTGACCCACTTAAGACGTGTGCGAAGTTTTAGGCGAATGACGTCATCAGACCGGAAGTTATAATAAAAAGACCCTTTTTCATTTGAAAATTCCTGAAAAATCAACCATGGCAGTTTTTATGTTAGTTTTTACTTTAATTGTCGATTTAAGGGAAGCTCTAAAACATTTCAAAGCTTCGAGGCAATAAGCGAACTTGGACATGCCCTGCGCACGCTTAAAACTTCAGGTTGACAGTACCTCTGCTCTAAAACATGAACAGAACGTCTATATGTACATACACATATGTTACGCACATGCATGTACATTGTATGTCTGTCAGCCTGCAGAGCACGTGTTGCCGAGGTCAAATCCTGTCCAAATCACAGTGACCGTTTTAGCCGATTTTCGGCTAACTTTGACAGATTTTATGTTCATGCATGCGCATAGTCAGGGACGTATAATAAAAAATCATAATGCCGAAAAGCCCTATGTTACGTATTTAAAGGTGCAGTTTTTCTGAAGTGGGATTTTCCACAAGTCTTTTCATATACAACACTGATATCTTACTGAGTAGTTCTGAACTTCAGCCGAGAATTACTATGAGAAGGAAAGAGAAATCGTATTTTTTTTTCGCGCTGTCATTCGATTGAACATATTCCTAAGGGTCAGAATATCAAGTAATATTTCATAAAAATGTTTCAGTTCAAAGGTAAATTACAAATTTAAAGGTGCAATGTTTCTGCAGTGTTTTTTTTTTTGCCCGTTAACTTTGTGTTGTGTCTACATGCATTTGTGATATAGCGCCCTCCAGTGTTAGGAATGTAAAAGGGAGTTGCGTGGAACAGGAAAATACAAGTTGTACGTTACTACAAAGTTGTGTCGTTTTGTGAGTACTTTTTCATAAAATTTTCGGGGAATATACCACATATTTTGGCGACGAGAATATGGCCCACTTGCATCCACCTCCACCGTTCCTTAATTCCCCAGGAACGCCGCCTTTGCCGTGGAAACAATGGCGTGGTTTGTTCGAAACATACATCATCGCTAGCGGGGCTGAGAAATACTCCGATGAACGCAAACGGGCTTTGCTCATGCACTGTTTGGGACCTGAAGGTCAGCGGATTTTTGGGACTTTGCCTACTACTACTTCGGCTACGGATTCGCCGTCATCCAGTGCGGATGGAACTGCTCCAACCCAGCCTACGTACGCTGACACATTCGCCCGATTACAGGCTCATTTCCAGCCGACGGTGAATGTGGTCGCTGAGCGTTACCGATTTCGGCAGCGGGCTCAACGGACTGATGAGCCTGTGGAACAGTATGTCATTGCATTACGTCAACTGGCGGTGACATGCGACTTCGGATCACTCGCTGATGAGATGATTCGTGACCAGCTGGTGGAGAAAACATGCTCCTCAAGGATCCGCGAGAGATTGCTGCTTGAGCCCAAATTGACTTTGTCATCTGCATTGACACTGAGTCAACAAATGGAGTCAGCTTTTCGCAAGTCCAAGTCCATCTCCAACAGTGCTGCAAGCTTCGATTCTTCCCAAGCTTCGGACAGTAATGTGCATGCTACGCGTCTCAAGCAAAAGTCAAGTGCTTCAAAGCCCCGTCGTCAGCCACGTACTTCACATGCACAGGGACATGGTAAGCCCAATACCCCTACTACTTCTGCACAACGCACACCTACAGTACAATGCTATCGTTGTGGAAGTCCAAGCCACAAAGCAAACTTTCCTAACTGTAAAGCTAAGAATGTGGAGTGTTCCAAATGCAACAAAATGGGGCACTTTTTGTAAGTCTTCGGGACAAGTTAGACAGCTAGGTTTTGAGGACGATAATAGTGACACTGAACTACATGTACTTACTGTAAACAGTGTAGGTACATCTCAGTCAGCCTCCATCACATATACACTCACATTGGGTCGCGACATCAAGGTGCCAATGATTTTCGATACCGGTTCACCAGTTTCCATCCTGCCACTTGTCACATTCGACAAATACTTCCTACGCGAGGCTCTACTACCCCCTCGGGCAAAGCTCACAACCTACTCCCATGAGCCAATAGCCATCAAGGGATGCTTCCACACTTCAGTCTGCCTTGGTGACAGTCATCATGTCCCAGCAGAATTTTACGTCGCAGAATCTGGAGATCCGATCCTTGGGCTGGACATTATCCGCAGCCTTTCGCTTACACTCAAGCAAGACAAGGTAGTGCACGTTCCAGTTCACAAGGTGTCGTCTGCACCTGCAACTACGCCTACAGCTACACCTACACCTATGCCTACACCTACAGCTACACCTGCAACTACACCTGCACCTACCAGCAAACCCTCTGCACATACAGAACAGTATGCTCAATCCATTCGCACTTCGTTCCCTGACTTACTGAAGGGAAAAGTGGGTTTGGCTCGCGGGTTTGTCCATCGCGTCAAGACGCGACCTGATGTTACACCGACTCAACAGAGGTTGAGGCGACTACCCTTTGCAGTTCGCGATCAAGTCAAAGCAGAACTACAGCGGTTGGAAAGCGAGGACATAATCGAGCGAATTGATGCGAGCGAATGGGTATCGCCCATTATTGTGTCCTACAAGAAATCAGGCGCAATTCGCTTGTGTGTGGACTTGCGGCAAGTCAACCAGGCAGTCGTCATCGACAAATTCCCACTGCCCGACATACAGGAACTTTTCTCTGAACTTCGGGGTGCTACAGTATTCACTACCCTCGACCTTAACTCTGCCTACCATCAGCTACTGCTTGCAGAGGAATCGCGTGACTTGACTGCATTTATTACTCCGGAGGGACTTTTCCGGTTCAAGCGAGTTTGCTTTGGACTTGCATCAGCACCGGCTGCCTTTCAGAAACTCATGAGCACAGTTTTGGCTGGACTACCAGGGGTTCAGTGTTACCTGGATGATGTCGTATGCTACGGTCGTGACCAGGCAGAACACGACAAGAACCTCACTGCAGTGCTCCAACGTCTACAGGACATTGGACTGACACTGAATACAAACAAGTGCCAGTTCAACGTTGCTTCACTACGATTTCTCGGACATGTCGTGTCAGGTAACGGATTACAGCCTGACCCTTCCCACGTTGAGGCAATTCTACACGCGCCATGCCCCACTGACGTCATTACATTACGCTCATTCTTGGGGTTAGCATCGTACTATGCTCGGTTCGTACCAAACTACTCCACAGTCATCGAGCCGTTACACGCACTCACTCGAAAAGACGTGCAATTCTCCTGGACGCCGGATGTGCAACACAGCTTTCACACGGTGAAAGAACTCATCGCTTACTGTGTCACACTACGCTTATTTGATCCTGATTTGCCAGTGATCGTGTCTACTGAAGCCTCTGCTTACGGCCTGGGAGTCGTACTACTTCAGGTGAAAGGAAACTCTGAATCACCTATCGCGTTCGCATCACGAACACTCACCGCAACTGAACGAAACTACTCTGTTGGTGAAAAAGAGGCCTTGGCCTGTGTTTGGGCCTGTGAGAAGTGGTTCCAGTACCTATGGGGCCGCCACTTCACTCTGCGTACTGATCATCAGTCACTTACCACTCTCCTGTCTACACGCGGAACAGGACGTCAGTCCATGAGAATCGCTCGTTGGGCTGCTCGCTTGCTATGATTCAATTACAATGTAGAGTACCAGCCAGGTGTTCACAACAAAGTAGCCGACGCACTTTCGCGCCTTCCCCTACATATTACCGTCCCAGTTCAAGATGATGACGAGGAAGTAATCATACAGTCAATCAATGTTCTGTTGCTGAACACTACGGTGAACAAAACCGACCTGCAACAAGCGGTTTTAGCAGATCCTACCCTCCAGCGGGTAACTTCTTATGTCATCAATGGCTGGCCTAACAAGAAAGCTATTGATGGATTACTTCAGCCATACTCGATGATTCGCGATGAACTTTCAGTTGTAGAGGACTGTCTCATGCGCGGAGACCGTTTCGTGATACCAGAGAGTCTGCAGAACAACCTGATTTCACTTGCTCACGAGGAGCACCAGGGAATCGTACGCTGTAAACAACGCCTCCGTGACTGCTACTGGTGGCCTTGCATGGATCACATGGTCGAAGAGGCCATACGCAACTGCTTCACCTGCCAATCCAATGACAAAACTGCCCGAACTCGGACTGCTCCACTCCAACCTGTGCCGTTGCCAGAGGGACCTTGGCAAAAACTCGCGATTGACATCACCGGACCTTTCGAAAAGGGTCCTCAGGACTGTAGATTTGCTATAGTTCTCATCGATTACTACAGCAAATGGCCAGAAGTTGCATTTGCTCGAACTGTCACTTCTAGCACAATCATTTCGATGCTAAATACGGTTTTCGCACGCGAAGGACTGCCCAATGAAATTGTCACTGACAACGGAGTACAGTTTACTTCATCTGAGTTTGAGAACTTTCTGCACAATTGCGGAATCAAATCACACAAGTCATCGCTTTACTACCCAAGGGCAAATGGGGAAGTACAGCGTTGGAATAGGGTTCTCAAACAGACCCTACAGCTTGCTTCACAGGAGAGGAGAGGGTGGAAAGAGGCAGTTGTAGAACTACTCACTGCCTATCGTTCAACGCCACACCAGACAACAGGGAAGTCGCCATCCGAACTACTGCACAATCGGAAGCTGATCACACGTATGAACATTCGCCACGATAAACCACAGCAGCAGGATGATGCTGAACTTCGCAGTCGTGTTGCTCAGAGACAGGAAAAATCTCGCAACTACACTGACTCAAAGCGTGGTGCGGTTAATCCAAAGTTCAAGCCAGGAGTCTTTGTACGCGTGAAACAACCAAACAAAGGGACAACCAAATTCTCTACTCCACAGAGGATTGTCAACACTAAGGGACCATTTACTTATGTGTTAGAGGATGGAAGAGTCTGGAACGCTTCAAAGCTAAGTCTATGCCCTGTAGAATTTATGGCACAGGGTTCAAGCTCAAATGGTATTCAAAATTCCACAGCAGAAAACAAGCCTGTGGCCGGGGATGGTCAAGTTCGACATTCAACCAGACCTCGAAATCCCCCAGTGTGGTCAAAAGATTATGACATGTAGTCCAGACCCTTTCATACATATGTACCATCAGTCAAGCAGTTAAATGACTAAATCCAGGATAATAATGGACTCTTATCGGACACTAGATTCACCATATTTACTTACTAGGGGACTCTGAACTTTTGCTAAGTTACTTGGGGCTTTCAGAAGAATAAGGCTTGCAAGTTGAAACACAAAATTCACAGTTTGTTCAAGTTGTTGCTAATTTTACTTAATAGTTGTTACTCAAGTTCTTTCTTAAAGAGGAGGGGAGATGTTGTGTCTACATGCATTTGTGATATAGCGCCCTCCAGTGTTAGGAATGTAAAAGGGAGTTGCGTGGAACAGGAAAATACAAGTTGTACGTTACTACAAAGTTGTGTCGTTTTGTGAGTACTTTTTCATACAATTTTCGGGGAATATACCACACTTTGTACACGTGTTAGCCCATTGACTTTGTACACGTTTTCAAGCCACCATTTCTATAACTTGGCGATCTGGAATCGTCATCAATGTTACAGCATGGAGGAAGGAATAGAGCCAAGGAAGACCCTCATACAAAAATTATGCGAAGACTATGACGTCATGATGACATTATCACCTAATTTTTTTTATTGATTTTTGAAAATTTATGTGCATATTATGAATTAAGTTCTATATCTACAGAACTGTAAGTCTGATTGGGTTGAAACTTGGTATGTGGCTAGACCGGGATGTGTTATAGGTAAAAAAAAAATTAGGTGGTCGAGACCTGAACATGATTTTTGCGGGAATTGATAGAATTATCGAGGGTCTTCAGTTTTTAAACATGTGCAATTAATCACATGACCCTTTCTTCTGGTTGAAACCGGAAGTGCTTTGTAATTTAAAATTGGTGAAAGACGCGCACTTGCTTTCAACGATGTTTGCTCTGGCTAAGATGTTCTTTACCATAATATTATAGTAATAGATGAAACTTTATGTGACGTCATCATGACGTCATCATGTGACATGTGACGTCCTAAATCACAGCAATATGCGAATGGAATCAAATATTATATGCCACCATTTATTATAAACAGAACTACACATCCTTCGTTGATGGAACATGTCACATGTCACAAAATGCTACCGAAACAGCCCTATGTTTGTCCACAAACATATGTGGACGTTTTTTTGTCCCCGGCACTTTGGACACTAAAATCAATCCGATTGCCTTTATACTTGGCACACACTTGAACCAGCACCTGAAGTTGTGTGCCGAACATTGACGTCATCGTGACGTCATCATGAGTCACATGACGTGACATTATATGCGATTTTTCTGTTGTGACCATTTTCTAGCAGAATTTGGCTAGATCTGACAGATTGGGCTATATCTCCAGAATAACAGGTCCGATTGGGTTGAAAGTTGGTATGTACCTAGACCAGGATGTCTTATAGATGAAAAATCACTTGACGTCATGATGACGTCATCATGTGACATATGACATCATATAATATTAACAAATTTTGAAGGCCTATATCTCCTGAACAACAGGTCCGATGAGGTTGAAAGTTGGCATGTGCCTAGACTGAGATATGTTATAGTTAAAAATTGAAGTGACGTCATGATGACGTCATCATGGGTCACGTGATACTTGCCATCAAATTTCGGTCCACTGAATTCCACAACTATCAGACATGGTAAACATCCATCATGTTTTGATTTAGTTAAGCTTGAATACTGAAAAAGAACGTCAATTTTGTTCAGCTGTATAAAATCTGTACGTGTTTAGTTTGTAAACAGGCGGCGTCTGATTAGCCAATAACGAGACCACGTGATAAACGCAGCTAATAATTTGGAATCGCACTTATGATCCGGACATCAGGAATGCCCGGAGCGTCAGTGCGATACCAAATTATCCGCAGCATGTATCACGTGGTAAATCACGTGCATGATCGGAGGAGGTTGCAGGACGTACGTCGAGATTTTACCTCGTACTTTGAATCTGCTGCGAGTGTGCGAGGAATAATATATGGATTTATAAAAGAAATAACACGTTTGTACACTATCTGGTCAAGTATTCAACAAACTTTATTCTTATTCTCACTCACTGGTAAATATATGCATGAAATGAGTATTTTGGTGGCTAAAAAAGTTACATGCACGTCGTGCATGCTCAGTAAAAAAGCTACGTGCACAAGCAAAAATCTACATGCACTGGTGCATGCGTGCACCCGATAAATCGAGCCCTTTTCTCATCACAATTCTTTAGATATTTGTCGGTTTATCTTGAACATTTTGCCGACATGAAAAAACGGGTTTACCCCTTCAAGTAAATCACTTGATACGCACGTGGGATTCGTGGGAACTGAAACGTCAAAATCCCAGCTGTGTTGTCGTTTGTGCGCTGTGTAGCATATTGATGAAAACATGGCTACTACAAAAACTACCGGTATCAAGGCAAATACTGCCAATAATTGGCAGGCGGATCTAGACCCGGGCCAGGAATGGCCCCGGTTAATAACTTGCTTTTTCACTCAAAATGTAATTCCAGCAAGCATGCAGCTCCTGAAATAAACAGACAACTGATGAGTCATTAAGTTCACAGCTTAACGTAAGTTACTTCTTTATTGCTTTGTAATTTGTACAGTCTGACACTGACAGGTAAATAGTAATTGTAAAGCCGAGGCTAAATTTGAGTAATACAAAACTGCTATGCAAACTTGGTAAACTGCTATGCAAATCAAAATTTGCAGAGAAGTTTTGCTATACAAAAAAAAAATCCTTAAGGCTCACCCTGAATATTTTACTTTATTTTAGATATAATCACAAAAAAAGACAACCCGATATGAATTTACCTGCAGCTGGGGGGCTCTTTGTCTTGTCTTTGTCACTGATCTGCACCTCTTCATATGCTGACTCCTCAGCAGCTGAAATAAAATAAGTCACGCAGAGGAATGTAAATGCTCCTACAATTTCAACTTTCTCTGTTAAATCATCACTTTCTGTAAATGCCTGAGCATCATCAACTATTATAAAAGAAGACTACACGGACCAGCTTTAACAGGCTTGTACAAGCCCTCTAATTAGGGGCCTAGGTTTTGTAGGGGTCTATGTTGTGGGAGTCCTTAGGATCCAAAGAGACCTTTTGGGTCACAGTGAGGTTCAATCACGACTCATTGACAGTCAGTGAGTCAGTCAGATACAATGAGGACACGAGGCTGAACCACCAAAACTAGATGAAAAGTGTACTTCAATACTCATTGGCTGTTTCGGCACTTTTGCCGAAACAGCCTTTGTTTTCGTTAAGATTTTTGTTTTTTACTTTATTTATTTTCTTTTTTAAGGCATTTTGCCCATAGCATTTGTGCACGTTTTTTTGTCCCCGGCACTTTGGACACTAAAATCAATCCGATATTTTATACTTGGCACACACTTGAACCAGCACCTGAAGTTGTGTGCCGAACATTGACGTCATCGTGACGTCATCATGAGTCACGTGACGTGACATTATATGCAATTTTTCTGTTGTGACCATTTTCTAGCAGAATTCGGCTAGATCTGACAGATTGGGCTATATCTCCAGAATTACAGGTCCGACTGGGTTGAAAGTTGGTATGTACCTAGACCAGGATGTCTTACAGATGAAAAAGCACTTGACGTCATGATGACGTCATCACGTGACATATGACATCATATCATATAAACATATTTTGAAGGCCTATATCTCCTGAACTACAGGTCCGATGGGGTTGAATTTTGGCATGTGCCTAGACTGAGATATGTTATAGTTGAAAATTGAAGTGACGTCACGATGACGTCATCATGGGTCACGTGAAGTCACGTTAAAGATTAATAGATCTTTGAAAATCAATTTAAAATCAACTGTGAGAGGCAACCCGATATGAATTTACCTGCAGCTGGGGGGCTCTTTGCCTTGTCTTTGTCACTGATCTGTATCTCTTCATATGCTGACTCCTCAGCAGCTGAAATAAAATAAGTCACGCAGAGGAATGTAAATGCTCCTACAATTTCAACTTTCTTTGTTAAGTCATCACTTTCTGTAAATGCCTGAGCATCATCAACTATATTAAAAGAAGACTACACGGACCAGCTTTAACAGGCTTGTACAAGCCCTCTAATTAGGGGTCTAGGTTTTGTAGGGGTCTATGTTGTGGGAGTCCTTAGGATCCAAAGAGACCTTTTGGGTCACAGTGAGGTTCAATCATGACTCATTGACAGTCAGTGAGTCAGTCAGATACAATGAGGACACGAGGCTGAACCACTAAAACTAGATGAAAAGTGTACTTCAATACTCATTGGCTGTTTCGGCACTTTTGCCGAAACAGCCTTTGTTTTCGTTAAGATTTTGGTTTTTTACTTTATTTTTTTTCTTTTTCCAAGTCATTTTGCCCATAGCATTTGTGCACGTTTTTTGTCCCCAGCACTTTGGACACTAAAATCAATCTGATTGCCTTGATACTTGGCACACACTTGAACCAGCGCCTGAAGTTGTGTGCTGAACATTGACGTCATCGTGACGTCATCATGAGTCACATGACGTGACATTATATGCGATTTTTCTGTTGTGACCATTTTCTAGCAGAATTCGGCTAGATCTGACAGATTGGGCTATATCTCCAGAATTACAGGTCTGATTGGGTTGAAAGTTGGTATGTACCTAGACTGGGATGTCTTATAGATGAAAAATCACGTGACGTCATGATGACGTCATCATCGGACATATGACATCATATAATATAAACATATTTTGAAGGCCCATATCTCCTGATCTACAGGTCCGATGGGGTTGAAAGTTGGCATGTGCCTAGACTGAGATATGTTATAGTTGAAAATTGAAGTGACGTCACGATGACGTCATCATGGGTCACGTGACGTCATGTTAAAGATTAATAGATCTTTGAAAATCAATATAAAATCAAATCAACTGTGAGAGACCTGAACTTAACGTTTGCGGGAATCGATAGAATAATCCAGGGTCTTCATTTTTTATATTATGTGCAAATCATGTGACCCTTCCTTCTGGTTGAAACCGGAAGTGTTTTTGTAATTTGAAATTGAGGAAAGATGTGAACTTGCTTTCAACGATATATGCTATGGCTAAGTTGTTATTTACAAACAAAAATATAGTTATAGATGAAAATTGATGTGACGTCATCATGAGGTCATCATGATGGAACTTAAACTTGAAACTTTACATGTCACATGTCACAAAAAAAATACCGAAACAGCCCTGTGTTTGTCCACAAACATAAGTCTAGTTAGTTCATTATTGGCCTTATTGTTAAGGTTAACTCCAGTAGCAATTGCGCAACTCTGCTTGCACCACAATCTATTGCGTTAGCTGCGCAACATTTCACGTTGCGCAACATTGTACTTATGACACATTTCAAGAAAGTCTCACAGTGCATAAGTCTGCTACTTGCGCAATATATTATGGCGTAACTTGCGCAATCAACTTACATGTAGGTGGCGTAAGTTGTGGCGTACGACTGAACATGACCTATTTAACCAGCAAATCGTAAGCGTCGTGGAGCCTGTTATTGCACAACTTATCAAGATTGATACAAGACACTGACAGCTTCTTGTTTGAGGTTACTGAATTTCTATTTTACTAGTGACAACATTTTTAGAGTTGCTGCACCATTCCAAAGAAAGTCCAAAAAATAATTTTCAGAATGGCGGGCTGGGGTGATTCAACCACTGTGTGTCTTGTCTATAGTTATTCTGTTATCTGTGTGTTTTGTGTGCGTTTCCCACTGTATGTGTAAGTCTTTTCTAAGTCTCTTTAACGTGGCCGTCTCGCTGTTGCTTTACTGTGTCTGTCCGTCTTAACCTGCCTGTTTTAGACAACTTATTTCAATTGTTCACCTAGTTATTTTAAAGGTTTTTCTTGTATAAGTTTTAGTTTGTTCTTAAATTTTAACTGGTTCATTTTTATTGATGTGAAGTGCCTTGAGCGTCAATTTTGACGGATTTGGCACTATACAAGAATTTGATATTTTATGTTTAGATTATTTAAAATAATGGGCCGCTATATGCCAAATTTGGTAAGTTGAATGCACAGCTGCACAACAACTGTGCTCTGCAAGTCTTACGCATGGCACAAACTACGCACTTTTTCCTGAAATCAGCTGCTGGTCTAAATAACACACACTATGCTTAGCTTCAGTTGGAATTAGTTAAAAAGACTGGACTGGTCCTCTAGACTGGTCCTCTGGGCTAGCAAAAACCAATTCTTGGAAAACATGTTTAAAGCCGGTCTTAAAATTCATAAATTGTCATCTGTACCTCTGGATGATGGAGGAACATATTTCTTGGGTTTCTTCATTGCTGCGTAGTCATCTGATGGTAAAACAAACAAATGGAATATCAATAAGATTATAATCGTAGGTGGGCTTGGTTGGTGGCCTCAGGCTACGTCATAAGATGGAATTAGCATCAATATCGAATTCTGCTCTTTACCAAAGTAATTATTTTAGTAAACACTGTACACTCAGTATTGTTCCGATCACTTGGGTGATTGACGTGGGTGATAACTCACAATTACTGGGGACAACACTGAGTATACAGTGTATATCAAATGTTGGTGGAGGGCAAAACCAAATATTGAATTCTCGTCCTCTTTAATAGGCCATGGTTTGCAACTACACATGCGCCTATGCAAGGGTGTTGAAAGCTTCTCAGAAATTGGGGGGACATATATACCTTGATAAGAATTAATGCCAGAGCCAAGTGTGAAACGCAAAGCCGTTTTGGTGTGGGGTTCGGCTTAAGGGCCCCAGAAAACTTTGGATTCTAGATGCTGTGTGGTGCGATCTGAGGCAATCTCTGACCACTTTAACAATCTTTTTTAGCAAAAGATCATAATTTTAAACATCATTTTCGTGTTGGGAGACGCTGAATCAGCTATTTTGAGCTATAGAATCCAATAGGCTATAACTTTTATTCTGGGATGAAAACAGTGGGGGGAGGAGGGGGGGGGCCCAAAGGATATGACATACGCCAACTATAAATAGTGTGCGTGGGGGGGGGGGAGTGGGAGGTGTACCTACCATGAGGTGGTTTGGGTTTCTTGTCCTTGTAGACTTCAGCATAGGTCACATCAGGCAGATCGAAAATGAAATAATAACAGATTAGTCCGACTGGATGATGAAATTGACTGCAATGGGATGTGAACCTGCGACCCCCAGAATACCATAACAGACACAGTGGAGTTTTTCTGATCCTTCACTGCTAGTATGGACTCCACGCACAAGTACTCCCCTGAACGGTAAGAATGGGAGAGTTTGGGGAGACCACTGGTTTACAACTTCTAAGGTGTTACTTTTAGCACCTGAAGCTAATTGGTGGTTCATTGGGGGGTTGAGGAGGGGACAGGCCCGTCGCCAAGTGGGGGCCATGGGGGCCGAGGCCCCCCTGACGAGCAACTGAACCCCCCCCCCCATCAACAAAAAAACATAAGCGTGTGCCCCCCCCCCCCCCCAATGCCTTGAGCTGGCAAAGGGCCTGGGAGGGGGCAATGGCCAGTTTCCCCCAAGGAGGCAATTTTACTTGAGAAATACCTTCGCCCCTCCTCCCTTTCATTAACTTCTCTGAAAAGTGGTCGAAATACACAATCTACCATTCGCGCACGGCGTCCATTGTAGGTTAGTGCAAAATAGAAAGCTTGACTAGCTCAACCAGCATGGACTATCGTGCATTTGATGAAGTACATGTTTTATAAAGGGCAAGTCCAAGAAGGTCCCTATTTGGTCTCATATGCAACACCATGTTTTCTTACATAATCATTGAAAAGACCAATAACAAAAATGTCTTGTGGGTATTCTCTTTGCAGATGCCCAAGAGCAGAATAAAGGAAACTACATTGAATCCATGAATATCTTTAAAGGGTTACACTTTCATTACGTATTGGACATGACGTGTGCGGATCCTTGGACCTGCCCCCAAACTACATTGTATAGTCTAGTTAAAATGAACTTACTTGTGGGAGCTGATCTGGCCGATTGAGGCTTAGGAGGCAATTTAGTCTTGTTGACCTGTGCATAGGTGTCTGAAGGAATGGGGAGAAAAGTAAATAATAAATTGTATAGGTTTTATCAAATACATGGTCCATCACTATTAGTAGCAAAACAAGGATCCCATAACAACCAATGGTCACCTTACTTTTTCTATAACACAGTGTCATATCTAAATGGTGGTCACATGTTAAAGTACCAGGTCAACTGCCAAGATTTGAGATATGTCAGCGCTCTAACTTCTTCACTGGTTCCAACCCATCCTTCTCTAACTTTCGAGAATAGGGTCTGGGAACCAGCTTAAATTTGCTCCACTACATGTATCAATGCAATAAGGTTTAAATCTGACCTATGACAATTAGTGGTTTCCAACCGTAAATAAATAAACTTGAAATAAAGCTTTGTATCAAGTACCCCCGGTACATGCACATAATGCTTTTAAAAATTCAACCAGAACATTAAACAAGTTCTACATCACATCACACTACACATAAATGTACCATACAAATGTAGAACATTTACATGCAGCATGCAATCTACTTGTTTAACTATTCGCTATCGAAGTGTTGTAATCGCAATGGATTAAGCCACACACATGTGCATATTCGTGTATTCTAAGAAAAGTAAAATCGTTCGGAAAATTGGTCGATAAATGCTGCCTCGCAATGGTCAACTGTTACGCTGCAGACTGTAATCAACGAAATAAAAGTCACGCCTGAAGATTTCCACTTTCTTAACCAGTTTGTGCCGGAGGCTGTGTATATATACACCCAAAATGTATGCAGTATTTGGAACAGATAACAGGTAAACATGCAGGAACCTGAGCGAGGTCGGAAATATCTGTCAGCGACCCGCTCGCAGTGAGCGAGGCCAAGAATATGAGTGTGCTGCCCAAGGGTGATGGCTTCAACCCGCCTGGCTTGAGGTCAGGTGAAAATAAATCCTGTGCCTCGATCGTTCCGTTCATGTCAAAATAATCCCGGCGTAAACTGGTTAATGAGACAGCACAACATGCTCGGAATAAACACCAGTCCGTAGTGAATGGTGGCCTTGAATCGGCATGATGCCGTTGCTGCGCCAACGACCAGTTTTTACTGATCTTACGTAACACTTCGATGGTGAATTGCACAAGACTCTGCTAGAATCAAATTATCAGGCCCTTTCAACCATTACATCAACAAGCATTTTGCTACATGTACAATGTATTACAAAATCTAAATACTCACCCAACCTGTTAACTATGCTAGTGCAATGAATTGTTCATGTATGGTTTAGAAATGACTGATTACAAGTACTTCAGAGACTTAACATATTTCATTGAGACCAAAGCTGGGAGTATAACATGACCTTCAGAGGTTAGTGTAAATCTTGATTCTCTGCCAACCCTATTAGTATCACACCTTGATTCATTATTTAAGTTAATTTTTCAAGTACATTATTTTGTTTCTGTGATCTGCAGTTAAAATAAGGACAGAACAAAACCCATGCACATGACATTTTTTTTAATGTGAATCATGAATTCACTTAGTACTGAAATATAGCCCCAAAAAGGGTTATAAGCCAAAGTATAACACGGTATAATTTGTTCATATTGTGATTGATTAGTTTTTTTTTTTAATATTTGACCTGTAATATTCCATGCTTAGCCATGTTAGCATTTCTATTAACATTGCTTATTTTCTGTTTGAAGGGGAAGGGTGGGGTTTGACTACCTAAAAGCCAGGCCACGCCCTTTCCCATCATACCCTTTTCTACCAGACACTATCTACTTGGGTCATGCTTGTTGTTTCAGTAATCGGTACATGTACACTCTAAACGCATGGAGTGATGACATCAGGGCCATCCACTGGATGCTGGCATAAGACATGTACATGTAAGAGAACACTACATGTACGTGTATGTATTGTAACTGGTTATTGTCCATATTATAGCCCGTTGTAAATTTACACCATGTTAAAAAAACAGGACTGAAGCTTGAACAGACTGTAAAATCCAGAAAGCAGGGAGGAATAATGTGACCACTAGACTAACATATCGACACACCAACAAAGGCTAGGACAAGCATGAAAAGTCTCAGGTTTTTAATTAAGTGAGGTTTTCAAGTGACTGATGGAAAAAACATTGGACATGTTGGAAGACAGAAAAAGATGGGAGATGGAAGAACCAAGGAAGATACTGAAAACAGAAGGAAAGTATGACAGGTTAAGATGGGTTATGATTAGCCGACCTCCACTGTCCACGGTGTATCTCTTGACAGGAATGGGTCCTTTGGTAGTGTCTGCTTCCAATCCATCTAAGGTTAATTAAACAAAACAAATCAGTCCCTCTCAGTGCTTGGGGGCAATCAATCTGCCAAACAATAATTATGGTAGAAAGCTGCAGATTTGTAATTAATAAACACATTATTTAGCAAGCTCCTCCTCCATGTGTTCAGAAATTCCCCCTCCTCCCCCACAGCTCCTGGATTTCTAACACACTAAAGACTACATGTATGTCACTCTACATGTAAGTAAAACAATATTCTTTGTTAGTTTTGTAGCTCAATGAGGTGAAGTAATCGAGGGTTAACACTCGATTAACTCAAGTTAATTCCCCCCACATCAATTTTCCATATTTTTCTTCAGGACTGAAATATGAATTTAATTTTTGTCATGTTGGATTTCCATTTTTTTTTAATTATTTTTATTTCCTTTTCTTTTGCTAACAGGTTATGGGGGGGGGAGGGGGGGAGAGGGGGGTGTACGAGGAAACTTGGGTGGGATACTAGTCAAACAATAGTAATACAAACATTATTTAAGAAAAAAAAGTAAAACAAAAATTTATAAACTGCCATTTGTTCTTTATATGAGCTCCATGGGCTTTTTTTACCACTTTGGAGAGCCAAGTGGACGACACACGATGGTTTATCGTACTGGTTCAACTAATTTTTTTCTGAATGTGCAAAAAGCAACAGTGTCTACATGTATGTGTGATCATAGGGCGTCTCAGCAAAGCGTCAAAATGTCTCTCCCAGTACATTGTCTCCCCCAACTCTCCCTTTCCTGCCGATGAGGGCGCCATTATACTGCCATTTTGCTGCAAAGCAGTGATAAAGCTGATGACACATGTAGTTCATGTTTTGATATTTGCTAAATGATGAGGAGATCCCCTACAGTCAACAAGAGCCTGAGTGGATTTATCATCCACTTAAACTTATCAAGAGGGGGATATTACGATGTAGATATACATGAAGCTGGCTGCACTTCCTGTATATGTACAATGTAGCTGCTTTGTTTATATTTCTATAATTTACACTGATACATTTTTATATAATTTCATACAGAAGCAACTGTGGAAAGTGCTGGGGGGGGGGGGCAAAAGACAGTTATTCTGTTATCCTTCCTGGGTCCTTTCCTACTATTTTTTAAAGCCTTTGACAATAACATACAGATGCTGAAACTATAGCAGCTGCTTTCACCACATGATGCATCTGTGAAGACAATCATGTTCAGTTCAGGAAGAAAAAGTGAAAATTAGAAATTGGTGATCTCAGGGCTCATGCCTTTCTCATGAAAAAGAAAAACCAAAAGAAACTTTTGGAAGGACTTCTGACAAATCAATTTTGTGTAATTTTTTGTTTGATTTTTCACATTTTAACATTCTTTTCCTTCTTCAAAATACACCAGTAAGATTTTTTTTTAAATATTGTTCAAAGCAAGCATTTGAAAATGTCTTCCAAAATTCTCTAAAATACATATGTACAACAAATTATTGACACAAATTATTGACACCGTCCAGGTCATAGAAAAAAATCACAATTCTTAAGATTTTTCTTCACAGATATCATGACAGGAGCCCTGTACACAAGACAGTGAGATGTGTAGATGTAGGCTGCTGATTCAGACGAATGCTGCTTTTCATAAAACATAAATCTTAAAATAAACTGCTGCTATAAAAGTTGCCGACTTACATACAGTTGCACATGTATAAAGGTAAATACACAATGTAGAAACATTTTCAAATTAGAATTTAAGCCAAAGGCTTCAGAACTTGCTTTTTGGGGTGAGGATAAAAAAGGTCCTCATTGTCATTCATTGGCTCAGTCATTAGTGCTATGGGTCTCTGATTGGCTGTTATTTGACATTTGTCTTCAAATCATGCAGACTGTATAGACTGATCCTCTATGACAGCAAATGTGACACTGGATATAGTTCCAAGGATCAGTGTGTAATCAAATACACTATGTGATGGTCGTTGCTAGTCTGCAATGGTACATGTACAGTAAGTGACAAGGGCGGATCCAGGGGGGTCAAATTTTGTTTATGTGACATCGCAATAAAGGCAGGCAATTGAGTACACCACCATCTTTTCCTAAAAAAAACCCATTGGTTAAAGTGGTCAGAAATTGCCTCAGATCGCACCACAGAGCATCTAGAATCCAATTTTTTTGACCCACTTTTTGGGGGGACCCAAAAATGTTTTGGCCCCCCAAAAAATTGTTTTCTGGATGCGCCCTTGGTAGGTGATATTATATTATGGCCAGTGATATTCTTATGATGGCCTGCGATGATTTTTTGCAATATAACATGATCTACAAACGATCTATGATATTCTATGGTGGTCTGTGATAGTTTGTGATATATGTGACAGTCTGTGATAGTCTGTGATAGTCTTTGACAGGCTGTGATATTCCATGACGATCAGTGACAGTCTGTGATAGCCTGTAATAATCTTTGATAGGGTGTGATATTCCATGATGGTCAGTGATGATCTGTGATAGTCTGTGATAATCTTTGATAGGGTGTGATATTCCATGATGATCAGTGATGGTCTGTGATAGTCTGTGATAATCTTTGATAGGGTGTGATATTCCATGATGATCAGTGATGGTCTGTGATAGTCTGTGACAGTGTTTAGTAACAGCCTATGATGACTCAATGCAGTTGTAATGATGTAGATCAGACCTTCAGTCTTGCTTCGTGGTTGGTAAGCCTATTTCTTGACGGCTTTGGGCTTCAGTCGAGTGACAGGTGGCCTGGAATCTCCTTCAATAAAAACAAAGTGACTGTTATTTACAAAACAAAAAAAATAACCCGCCAAAATGACAAATTATTTTCAAATGCTACAATTTATCTTTTTAAGTCAAATAATACAAATTCTGCCAAAAACCTATCACCATTACAGTACCTTACTTCAAATTCATTTTAAAAGGGAGACAAACCAGTAAATTAATGCTATAGTAGAATTCTAACTTTATTGCATTAAAACATGTTACATAATGTATTACATACATGTACACCAATAACTCACACATATGTATTACATGTAGTTGTTTGTACCAATAGCTTATAAAAAGTACTGTTTGTACATTATTCATATGGCCTGGACAGAAATGAAAACTTAATTGACACTGTGATCAAGAGCAATACAAACGGGAGATAAAAGTGAAACTTATTCTTTAAATGTGTTTGAAAAAAAAGAATCCTATCACATGTGACGCAATATCAATGTCAGCTATTTTTTTTTTGTTAAATATGTTTTAGCTTTGAACTGAAAATAAAAGAAGAAACTGTTCCCAATCCCCGACTTTTCTGGATTGATTTTCAATTACACAATGTCAAACGTCTGGTGATACAAGCTTTCGGTTAGTTATTGTTGTTGTTAAGCTTTACATTGAAAGTAAAATCGGAAGAGCAAGCTCCTCCTCCATGTGTTCAGAAATCCCCCTCCTCCCCCACAGCTCCTGGATTTTTAAACACACTATAAGACTACATGTATGTCACTCTACATTTAAGTAACAAAATATTCTTTGTTAGTTATTTGTATTTTCTTTTCTTTTGCTAACAGGTTCGGGGAGGGGGGGGGGGGGAGGGGGGTGTATCAGCCTCCTCCCACTTGGCTCTCCAAAGCTGCTCCATATTAGTGTTGTTATCTGGAGTGGAGGTCCATATGGGATTTCTTGATCTCAGTCTGAGTCTGGGGTGGTCGTTTATATCGGTGTTGATGGGGAGATCTGGCATTGACGTTATTCTGGTCAATAGGTTTTTTGTGGCCATTTCTCTCCTGACATCCGGGGGGATGTTACTTAAGACCAGGAGCCAGTCTAGTTTGGTGCATTGGACCGCACCAGATACAGTCCTCATGGCGTTGTTCAGCTGGACATCGACATAGTTTGGTGTGAACAGACTTTTGCCAGACTGGAGCACAGTACTCAGCAGCAGAGTAGCTGAGGGCGAGAGCCGTGGTGCTAGGGTCTTGGCTGAGGCTCCCCACGTTGTTCCAGCTCGCATGTTGAGGAGGTTATTCCTCGTCATGACTTTCCCAGCTGTCTTAAGGAGGTGTGGCTTGAATGTCAGGGACCTGTCAAGCGTAACTCCGAGGTATGTTGGCTGGGCATCATGTATGAGGCGAGCTCCATTGAGGAAGATGTCCAGTTCTTGTGCGCTCTGAGCATTGTGTAGGTGGAACACACTGGATACCGTCTTGGCTGTGCTAGGCTGAAGACGCCACCTCTTGCAGGACTCTCTGATGGTGATCATATCAGCGTTCAGGACAGCATTCAAGGCTGGGAACTGCTCTGATTGTGTTGCGATGCAGATGTCATCCGCATAGATGAACTTGCGACTGGTGGTCTGGGGCAGGTCATTAAGGTACAAGTTGAATAGTGTGGGCGCTAGCACAGATCCTTGAGGAAGGCCATTTCTCTGGTGTCTCGAAGTGCTGTTAGCATCTGCCATATGGACACAAAATCGACGGTGTTGTAGCAACAGCTCGATGGCCTTCACCGCCCAGTGAGGCAGTACTCTCGCTATCTTCGTCAGCAAGCCCTTGTGCCAGACAGTGTCGTAGGCGGCAGTAAGGTAGAGCAGCACGACTCCAGTCTTCTTTCGTAGTTGGTATCCGTTCTCGATGAAGGTGGTCAGTGCAAGTACTTGTGGTCTTGTGTACTCCTTCCGGGTCGGAATCTCGCCTGGTCTAGAGTGTCGTCAACGGTGGGCTTGACACGCTGCAGAATGATCCGTTCCAGGAGCTTGTAGCACATAGATAGCAGAGAGATGGGACGATAGCTCGATACTTGCTTCAGGTCTATGGCGATCGTTTTTGCCGTTCTCCATATCTTTGGCATGTTGTTTTCTGCAATGATGCAGGTGAGAAATGATGCCAGCCATTTCCTTACAGTCGGACCAATGTGCTTAGGAACTCTGGGTGAAGATTGTCATAGCCTGGGGCTTTGCCATTTTTCATGCTCTTGATAGCCTGGTCAGTTTCTGCTACTGTGATCTCGGGAGTTTCTTCCTGTGGGGTCATGGCCCATGACCTTTGGTATTTACGCCATTCCTTGTTGACTTCACTCTTCACATGCTTCTCGATAGGAGCTTTCCCCACCTGGACGAGACGTGCTGCGACGGCATCAGGTTTGACTGCTGGTCTGCTTGGATTGTGTGGTTGCTGATTCATTCCGGTTTGGCGTATAAGGTTCCAACACTTGCGGCTAGAGTGTGTGAAGTTCATCTCACTTGTAAGCTGTTCCCAGCGAGTGCGTCACCCATTGTCCAGCGCTTCAATGAGATGGTCCGCGATGTCAGGGTCTCCGGATCGTTGGTATTCATCCAGGAGTTGTTGGCAATCAGAGTCCAGGCACGGAATGTAGGTGGGCCTGAAGCCTCTGGGGATGTTAGACTTGGCTGCCTTCTGCACTGCACCGAGGAATCTGGTGTAGGCGCTGTCAATTGTAATACCGTTAGTTGGAACATTACTGGACCAAGCCCAGTCTAATGTGGCTTTCGCGAACCCGGGAATCCTGGGTTCGTATTCATGAGCCCCCTACTAAGATAAAGGCTATTTAATCAGTTGACGACCATAAATATGTTCGCACATACTAATAAAACAGGTGGGAGTGCAGTGGTTTGTCCTTGATAAGCAGTCAGGCTATCCCCAATGTATGTGCGTCTGTTGTCTAGAGCCAGCCTGCCTCCCATCAGAATTTGAGTGACGAGTGATGAGCCAGTTAAGTGCCGGAAAGCTACCTACAGCTAAGAAAGCCACATTAGAATGGGCTTGGTCCAGTAATGAATGCATGGTACACTTTTCTCTAGCATTTCTGTGAAGTTCTCCCAGTTTGCTTTGCGAAAGTTCCAGCGTGGGATGGGAACGGATTTGGTTACTGGTATGCAAATGCCAGTGTTGGTGGTTATTGGTCTGTGCTGGCTTTTAGGAAAATCTTCTAGGACTCTCACAGATGATGGCAGTAGGCGCCCCTGTTGAGAGGTTACCCAGCATAGGTCAGGTGAGTATTCACGATTCCACCTGGCGGAGCGGAAAGATCGCCTTTGTTTGAGGTCGATGACGAGGTAGAGGTTGTGATGAGAGGACCAGTCCACGAGCCAGTCTCCGTTCATGTCTGCTGTCTCGTATCCCCAGTTTGCATGGTGGCTGTTGAAGTCGCCCTTATTAGCAGTGAGATACCATCACCTGATCATGGACACTATTGTCGAACGGCTTGACCAAGGCTAGTTGCCTCAAGGGGAAAGCAAATCACAGGTCGACCCAAGGCCAGCCTTAGACCACAACACTTTCCCATCAGTTTTTCCAGCTTCTACTTCTTGCTGTTTCTGCCCGAGACACAGACCCACACTTGACTACAAGACTCTACATTAAAGAACAGAGGATGCAATGTAGCTGAGGACCAGACCTGTTACATCAGCATTCTTCCTTGGGTCTGAAGACCAAAGGTTCTGTGGCTTTCTTGTCTTTGTTTACTTGGGCATAAGTTGCTGAAACATAAATATTTATGGGGAAAACATATGGGTATACAAAACTAACAATCTTGAGCAAAATGAATGAGTCTGACTGCAACTATCAGCAGACTATGAAACACTGAAGAGGTTGGGCGAACCAACATGATCCTGTCATGATACAGTTCTTCCCAGTGTCATTAATCAACGTGTCCAATCTAAAACAAAATTGAAGTAATGATTGAAGAAGAAAGACCAACATAAAACTCAAGCCAACAAAATGTGGAAAGCTCAACAAGGAAAGACATCTCAGTACAGAAAGACACACAACACAGAGATAAAACTGGCATATGGCCCAAAAAATCGGAAAATATGCCGAAGAAAAATATGTGTCCGAAATCTGGGCCGCGCTGAATTACACACATGTACCTGCATGTACAATACACTTCATGCCCAATTTCCGAACACCTACTCCTGCTTTATTTTTGATTCATTTTACGATGAAAAAATGGTTAGTGTTTTCATTGCATAAAATGCCCGAATTACGGTTAGAGTAATGGAGTCATCAATAAAGAAGTTCATTTCTTACTTGAGAAAGTCTAGGGAAAAGTCCGAAAGACATGTCCATTCAACCACAGACAACTCCACTTGCATTCATACGTGGGGAAAAATCAGGTATTATCATCTTTCTCTTCTAACAAATGCCAGTGAAAAGTTTCGCTAATGCTCTCTCCGCTGTACTTCAGATAATCATCACGATTTTAAAGCATTGCATTTTGCATAACTAAATTTGAAACCTCTGAAAATTGCACAACATAATGATTTTATCCACTGGATCGTTGACAAGGCTACCCGTTCCTGACCGGCCATGTGCTTGCAGACGGTACAGTGCGGTACGTACGCTGGTACCATTGCATATATTGCACACACGTGCGACCATGGAGCATTTATATAGCTCCACGGTGCGACACACAGTGATTTGTTCATGTCGCCTGCCAATGTTTTTACCTTTGGTCTAGCCGGAGAAGGCTCCGATCAGTGTTATGCCCTGTGTTTCTACCGTTGAAACACTCCAATAACGACTGGTGAAAGAGATTAAAACTACGTTGGCGATGATTTTCACGTGCCATTTCCATCGACTTTTCATCGACTTTTCTTCGAAATTATGATTGAAATAAAGTGACATTTTGTGAGAAAATCCTTACAAAATCACATTTTGTGGGACACACTGTAAAAAAATCGGAAATTTCATTGGAAAAGTCAAGAAGTCGGTTTTCCGAATAAAATCGGAAAAGTTTCATCTCTGACAACACTTATTTGCATTAATCCAGAAGTTTTGAGTATTGAAGTTTAGATAGAAGTGGTTTTCAGGGTTTTTTTTATGAAAGGTTTACCCTTGTTCTGCAGGGCTTGGTTTGTTATGCCATTGTTCTCCTCTGGCTGCACATCATGGCTGAAAAGATGGGGGAAAAAAAGAATATATGTTAAGTAGACTGATGAATAAAAGCTTTAAGAGGGACTACGTGTATAAAGACTCATTCAGCGACAGCCATTTTCTGAAGTGGCACCAGGCTTGTACACACACACACACACACACACACAGGCTCCTTCAACATATACACCTGGTCTTTAAGAATGTTTGTGCCATGAGAGCAAATGCGGTTGGACCTCAACAAATGACTTCTAATTTTGTTTGCCAAATTAGTCTAGATCAAGTAAAAATCTGTGAATTAACTGCACAACATCATGTTATCAAACTAGTGGGTCTCATGTAACACGCCTGGGCGCCCCTTTGCATTTCCTCATTACACTTTTTCCAGCTAATTTCTTTTGCATGTTTTGACTTATGAATTATGAAGTTTTCAAATTAAGGTTGGATTAGAATGTTAACTTGTTAAACTAACCCATGTAAACATATTTTGTTTTTACTTATCACCGACAGTTGTACTGCAATTATACTCCGTATTAATAAGTGTCTTCAACTTCTAATTTTTGTTTGGATTTAATTATGAACAGGACCAAAAAAGAATCTTTTCTACTACAATTACGAAAAAACACATTATAAACATACATAAACTGGCAAGTAATTATGATTTCAGTTAATGAGATGTTAAAATTGTCTATGAACAAATGTATGTCATTCCTTGTCATTCCAAGTTCTGAGGTAAAACAAATTTTCTTCGAGACAGAGGCATATCACTGGAAACACAGACGTACATTTTCAAGGGAAACAAAAATGGCATTGAATTGCAGTTAATTGATCATTAAATTATGAAATCCTTACACTAATAATTGATTTTTCATTGACTGTTTCAATAAATTCAAAATGGAAAATATAACCAAGTCACTCTCTTTTTTTCTGCATGTTTTTAAGAATATCTCAATTTCATTATTTTAAACAAAGTACAATTTGGTTAAAGATGTGTATAAACAGGACATAACATAAAACAAAAACTTTCCTGGATCATTTCAATGCCAATTGTAAAAACAAAGCAACAATCAACAGATGACATAAAACACATCAAATAACTTTCAGTTTCACTTAGAAAACCACAAATAAGCCTTTGGGCAGGAATTATTGGTACATGTAGATTGGGAAGGATTTGGCCAAGGAAATTATGCTTACAAACAAGGAAAAGCAAGTTCAGTGTTACTTGTACAAGTACCGGTACATGTACGTCATCTTTTGGGGTTTTTCCAAGTCACAGACCCACTTTAATGTTAGTTAAACTTCCTGAATTCCGAGTAAAACAAAAAAAGCTGAACTTTCAAAGACCAGAAATGCATTGTATAAGTTACAATGGTATGATGCTTGTCTTTCAAGAGAATATCTACATGTATTTATTGAAGGCAAGAATAATTGGCTCAAGAAGGTGGCGGTGTTTGACATCTCTCCAGTAGACAATTTCTTAGGAGAAAAACTGTATTCATATGGTCCTACTTCTAGCCAGGAATTGAACCTGGGCCACATTGGTGAAAGGTCTGTGGGTTGTACATGAAAACAAAAATCTGCAAACATTAAACCTCTCACAAGCTCTCAGCTAGCACGGAACTATACAGTGCTCATGACACACATGTACATGTAAATGTATGTTTGAAAGGCAAGACCAATGTAAATAATCAACACGATAACTACTTTATTTCATGAGGTTCTTTAAAGTTTTCTCCATGTAGTTAAACTTATAATCAACTGACCTTGGTTCTTGTAGTTCAACTTCTTGAATATAGTAGGCAGGGCTGAAGGAATCTACAAGAAATAGCACAAGAGAACCCCTTTAAAGTACCCCTTTAAAGTACCCCTTTAAACAAGAGTCCGTCAAAATGAGTTTTTCGATAGCGCATACAATAGTCCACGTTAAAATTTTTTTGCAAAATATACATGTACTATATACATGTACTACATGTTTGCGAAGAAGTAGTCTTCCTCCAAGCCTGTATCTGAATTTGTATTTCCCTAGTTTGCAGCCAGTCCCGTAAAATACGCAGTTAAGTTGCTGTGGCGGTCACGTGGAGGTCTCTATCAACAAGAATAATCATCCTCATTCTTGGTAATATTGGCAACACTACCTGGGAAATGCTGAGCATACATGCACATGTACTAGCTTGAATACTGCGTGCGTGAGGTGTATGCATTGAATTTCCTGGGTAGCATTGCCAATATTGCTAAGACTGGATTTCATTGATCGTGTTGATAGAGACCATTGAGTTTTCCTCGGTTATTTTCAGAACCTCAGAAAAACTCACAAAAGAGAGGTTGCATGGTGCTTCCAACTTATTGATAGAGATATTTGGCTTGTCATGGACGGCCTATTTTCAATGGACGCAGACCTAGATATAGCTGTACACAGCTGATTTGGATGCAGCATTATTCATGTTATACATGTACCTTTATGTGATCAGTATATGTACATCATACTGAAGTTGTACATTTAAATAGTGAATCAAGGGAATAAAGACCAATCCAGTCTTGAACTATAAAGAATAGAGATGAAGCCAAAAACATTTCACCTCTTTCTTTTACAATTTGATCGACGTAGCTTTACCAACCTTCCTTGCCATTCTTCCTCTGGGGTGAGGTCCTGACCAAGTAGACAACCAGAACAACGATGATAGCGATGAGTATGATGCCTCCTACTGTCGCTCCAACGATGAGGCCAATATCAAGTCCAAGGGGAGTTGCATCAGTTGGCTTGACTATCAGTAAGGAACAGTAAAAAGTATAAGATTCATTTATATTACCTTTTTCATCAGGCCACTGCAAACATTCCAATGATAATCTCAGCTTAATCAAAAACCACATCTCAATTCTTCATATGTGGTGTCAAAAGGTCAAGGCAACATTGTTGACTGCAATTTGCACGTAAAGATTTCCCCGTACACATGCATGTTAAATACAATTCACACAACCACAGCTTCTTACAAACTGGTCATCAGGAAGGTTTTTAGAAGTGCCAATATTTGCACATATTTGCTATAAGATTTAAGCCTTTGCATGGTAGAGACCAAAGACAATCTTTTAGAACTTAAAGCAGTCCTTTCTTATCAGAACTAAAACTACTTAGTGAAAGTTGATAACAAGCAGGACAAGTTCTTTTTAGAACTACAAATATCTACTGAGCTGTAATTATTACCACTTGGTGTTACCGCAAACCAAAACGATACACATTTGCTAAGCACTTGACTTAGTCGGTTTAGAGTTTAAAAAAGACTAATATAAAATCAAACGCTTAGGAGATGTGTTACGCAACAATTTGCTGACAACCAGTCAGGTGTACATCATAAGTTATTCTGCCTATTAAGAAGGCTTTACTAAGCAAATGTTCACGTCAAATTGGTTTTGCCTTTCACCGAAGTATTAACACTGTATACTCAGTGTGTTACCTCCCAAGTGAACGATGGAAAAAAAAAATTCACTCGGGTGGGACTCGAACCCACAACATCCTGCTTTCTAGTGCAGACGTCTTACCACTTGACCACCGAGCTAACGGGATCAGTTGGCCAGTTCAAATCTATTGTACATAGCAGCAGGTACCACATTTGCTATTCATAAGATGATTTTTTTTTTGTGACGGTGGTCAAGTGGTAAGACATCTGCATTAGAAAGCAGGAGGTCATGGGTTAAGGGTCCCAACCACATGTTTTTTTCCAACTTTCACTCGGGAGGTAACACACTGAGTATACAGTGTTAATACGTCGGTGAAGTGCAAAACCTAATTTGATAAACAGGTACATCCCCCCGATGCAAAAAATTCATCTTATGAATAGTAAATGCAGTACCAACTGCTATGTACATAGATTTGAACCAGCCATCCGATCCCGTTAGCTCAGTGGTCGAGTGGTAGGACATCTGCACTAGAAAGCAGGAGGTCGTGGGTTCGAGTCCCACCCAAGTGATTTTTTCCAACTTTCACTCAGGAGGTAACACACTGAGTATACCTAAGGGCAAAACCTAATTTGATATACATCACCCCGATGCGAATGTTACAAATGTTCGCTTCTTAAATGTATATTCTGTGTTAAGAAAATACGACAAAACTGGATCAAAGTTGCCAGAAGACAGAGTGCAACAGTTACCAATTTCAGCAGCTGCTGGTTCACTGCACAAATCATCGAAGCACTTTTTGGAGCGGACGGCTTCAATGTCTCCTGCAGCTCGTCTTCTTCGCTTCTGAGATGACGCACACCATTCAGAGAGCTTCACTTTCTGATCTGAGCTGATACAGGCTCCACACTCTTTCCAGGTGCCATTGCCTTGGTATTGGACTTCCAGCTGGATGCATCCATTCCCTTCCTTCAGCCCTCCAACTGCCACAGTCCCATCTTTCTTGTTAAACCCTACAGTGATCCCTGATTTAATTGGATATTCAAAAATGGTCATGTATACATGTACACGTATTTTAATTACAATTATTTCAATCCTTCAATTTTTACAGCAACAGAATCTACCATGATTTTAGGGGGAACGAGAAAGCGGTACCCATGAAGTAAGCAACAGGACGTTTATGTTTCCAACCTCATTGATGAAATTTTATTCCGAGAACTCTAGCTTTAAGCAGAGGGGTGGGGCAGATGTTTTACTTTTATTTTGTTTAAGGCTGAAACTCCCCTTTATTTAATTGTAAATGTAGTAGATGCGAACTTCAGTCAATGTTTGCCACATTAACATTCATGAGTGATCTTTCGAAGTTGTCTACCGGTACCTGTATCTACATGTACAATGTATATGTACACGTACCCCACAAGTGAAAATATTAAGAAAGGCAAAAAACTACTTTTTATCACCATGACCTACATGTACCTACATAAATGCCATAACCTTTGAGATGTTTGTTTTGGTGAAAGGATAAAAAGATAATTGAACAAACCAAGTACCAGTACATATAGATTATTAATGTACACATACCTGAGCCAGGGCCTGGTGGATTAGCTGCAACAAAAACAAAGAAATTAAAATTAGAAATGTTAATAAATGACATGAAAATCTGAAAGAATTTGCGTACATGTATGTAGTTTACATGCCTGAATACCAAGGTAATGTGGAACATGATGCTGCCATTCTGTCGACACTTTTCCAGTTTTTGAGACCTACCCAGTACCGGTACAAAATATCGTAACGCTATGGTAGGGGCCGGGCTTACATGTAAATGTGTGCTTTTCTATACGAACTTGATGTCATTCTTTCTGTTTGGTTTTCTGTTCCCCTTGCTTCTTCAGGCTTACAAGTTAAGAGGAAATATTCTATTCAATAAACTTTTAAATTCTGATCGGGACATTACCTTTCACCATGTACAGGCTAACACGTAGACAGTAGATGCGGTATCATACATGTTTTCCATGATTTCCATCAGCCCTTACTTTTAACTCAGGGGAGGATACCCCCCCCCCCCCCCAAATTGGTTAGCATCTCTGTTCCAACACCTCTATGTTCCAACACTTCTATGTTCCGACATCCCTACGTTCCGATAACTCAACCTACATACTGGTATGTCTTATATGTTCCGACATCCCTACGTTCCGATAACTCAACCTACATACCGGTATGTCTTATGTTCTAACATCCCTACGTTCCGATAACGCAACCTACATACTGGTATGTCTTATATGTTCCGACATCCCTACGTTCCGATAACTCAACCTACATACTGGTATGTCTTAACATCCCTACATTCCGATAACGCAACCTACATACTGGTATGTCTTATGTTCGGACATCCCTACGTTCCGATAACTCAACGTACATACCGGTATGTCTTATGTTCGGACATCCCTATGTTCCGATAACGCAACCTACATACCGGTATGTCTTATGTTCCGACACAATCCTACGTTCCGATAACTCAACCTACATACCGGTATGTCTTATGTTCCGACATCCCTACGTTCCGATAACTCAACCTACATACCGGTATGTCTTATGTTCCGACATCCCTACGTTCCGATAACTCAACCTACATACTGGTATGTCTTATGTTCGGACATCCCTACATTCCGATAACTCAACCTACATACTGGTATGTCTTATGTTCCGACATCCCTACGTTCCGATAACGCAACCTACATACTGGTATGTCTTATATGTTCCGACATCCCTACGTTCCGATAACTCAACCTACATACTGGTATGTCTTAACATCCCTACATTCCGATAACGCAACCTACATACTGGTATGTCTTATGTTCGGATATCCCTACGTTCCGATAACACAACCTACATACTGGTATGTCTTATGTTCCGACATCCCTACGTTCCGATAACTCAACCTACATACTGGTATGTCTTATGTTCAGACATCCCTACGTTCCAATAACTCAACCTACATACTGGTATGTCTTATGTTCGGATATCCCTACGTTCCAATAACTCAACCTACATACTGGTATGTCTTATGTTCCGACATCCCTACGTTCCGATAACTCAACCTACATACTGGTATGTCTTATGTTCAGACATCCCTACGTTCCAATAACACAACCTACATACTGGTATGTCTTATGTTCGGATATCCCTACGTTCCAATAACTCAACCTACATACTGGTATGTCTTATGTTCCGACATCCCTACGTTCCGATAACTCAACCTACATACTGGTATGTCTTATGTTCAGACATCCCTACGTTCCAATAACTCAACCTACATACTGGTATGTCTTATGTTCCGACATCCCTACGTTCCGATAACTCAACCTACATACCCGTATGTCTTATGTTCAGACATCCCTATGTTCCGATAACTCGACCTCATACTGGTACGTCTTATGTTCAGACATCCCTATGTTCCAATAACTCAACCTACATACTGGTATGTCTTATGTTCGGACATCCCTACGTTCCGATAACGCAACCTACATACTGGTATGTCTTATGTTCGGACATCCCTACGTTCCGATAACGCAACCTACATACCGGTATGTCTTATGTTCCGACATCCCTACGTTCCGATAACTCAACCTACATACTGGTATGTCTTATGTTCGGACATCCCTACATTCCGATAACTCAACCTACATACCGGTATGTCTTATGTTCCGACATCCCTACGTTCCGATAACTCAACCTACATACCGGTATGTCTTATGTTCAGACATCTCTATGTTCCAATAACTCAACCTACATACTGGTATGTCTTATGTTCCGACATCCCTACGTTCCGATAACTCAACCTACATACTGGTATGTCTTATGTTCCGACATCCCTACGTTCCGATAACTCAACCTACATACCGGTATGTCCTATGTTCCGACATCCCTACGTTCCGATAACTCAACCTACATACTGGTATGTCTTTTGTTCTGACATCCCTATGTTCCGACAACTCAATCAATATGTTCCGACACCCCTACATGTATGTTCCGACAGCTCAATCAATATGTTCCGACACCTCTACATGTATGTTCAAACACCCCTATGTTCCGACTGCACATATTCTTATCCCTAACCCTAACCCTTACCGGGAGTAATACAATCTTATGTACAGATTGTCGGAACATAGGGGTGTCGGAACATAGGGGTGTCGGAACATAGGGGTGTCGGAACATAGGGGTGTCGGAACATAGGGGTGTCGGAACATAGGGGTGTCGGAACATAGGGGTGTCGGAACATAGGGGTGTCGGAACATAGGGGTGTCGGAACATAGGGGTGTCGGAACATAGGGGTGTCGGAACATAGGGGTGTCGGAACATAGGGGTGTCGGAACATAGGGGTGTCAAAATATAGTTTGAGTAGTCGGAACATAAGGGTGTCAGAACATAGGTGTGTCGGAACATACATTTAGGTGTGTCGGAACATAAAGCAGTCACCCCCCCCCCCAATTATTTATTATTCTATTCACGAATGGTCACAACTACCGTTATGTCTTATTTTCAGCACGACAACAAAAAGAAGCAGGTAAATTAATGTAGGGGGATATACTGTGCCAGTATGTATGCATGTACATGAGCACATCAGTAAAGTGATGAAGTTGTGTTAGTTTGAACTGAAATAAAGTAAACACAACAAATGAGTACCCAGTATATCAAGTTACTCCATAGTGCTGATTTTCACAAAACCAAACACCCCCCCCCCCAAAAAAAAACCTGTGACAAATCATTTCTTTTTCAAATTATATTTTTTTACAGAATAGAAATTAACCCACTATATGATTTAATATTCTCTTAGGCCTACTGCTGAATTGACCAAGATGTTCATGTAGGCTATACATGTACATTGCCAAGCCATGGAACTGCCTGTACACAATAAACAGCGCCCTCTACCATGCATACAGTATTATGGACCCTGACCCAAAGTGCTTTTAAAAAATTGTAACGCACGCAAAATTTCAGGTTTTCCCCCACCATCATCATCAGTCAGCAACACAAACCTTAACCACCGGATAATTGAATGAATTTTATTTCCTCGTTCATTAATCACACTAAGTGTGAACAATGTTTGACAGGTTGGAAATATTTGTTCACTCTGCTTCTAAGATTCCAAAAGACTGGGAATTTCCTGGGTGTTTACTACTTTTACAAAGTTATTTCCTCGTTATTGCTAGACCATAATTTACAGAAAACTGCATTACACAGCAGGTTTCAAAACTTTTGAAAACAAGTAAGGGTTTTGCCAGTGTTTATTTTGTCAAGTATTTCCTTGTTGGATCATGTATCTTGCATGTTCAGAAGTAGTGAATTTTCCAGATGGTGAGGAAATCTGCCCAAAATAGTTAGGATTTGAAGATAAAAAAAAGAATTAAGTGTTCCACTAACTTTGCTTAATGATGTTCGTAGGCTATTTGTTTGTGCTCTTCAACAAATATATATTTTTCTCTTGACACATTTCTCATTTCAACAACATTTTTTACAAGGTATTAAAAAAAAAGAAGTTTTTCCCCTTTCCTTTATATCTGTAACCCTCTGAAACAAAAGCCCTTCATTTTTGGTTGCCTACATTGTAAGTTGCGCACACGCACATTTGCACTGCCCACATCACGGTCCCTTCATCATCCATCCTAATGGGCTCCGTGTGCAACAGGAGAGGGCACTTTTTTACCACTTTTGAAAGCTTCGATAACAAGACACACCACATGTGTGCATACTCGTTCGCGCGCATATAGCGCAAAGTATGCAAAATTGTTTTTTATTCTAAATGTGCTCAAAGCGTTGACTATGTGTCAGATCAATTGTCTCTCCCGATGGTTTCCCACTCTCCCTTTAATGCCATGCAGTGAGGGGTTACTGTACATGTGCACAGAGCCCTAGAGTCTTGAGGGTTGAGAAGTATTCTACCCCGCAAGTACATGTACCGATAGATGTCAGGATCCAAAAAAATCAAAATGTGTAAATATTCCTGTAAACCTAGACAATTTATTTTATGTATTTTGCTACATGTAACTTATTACCCCTCAACTATTTCACTTCATGTTACTCTGCTCAAGTGGGTACAGATAATATTTAACCTGTGTAATATATCACCTTCTCTACAAGTATCACTTTAGTACTTTAGTAATGGTTTCACTGTATACATACCGGTATATACATGTACATGCAATGGGTCAACACAAAAAAGCATGCTTTACCTTTGATCCAAAATAACGCTGTTAAATTTAACAATGGTAAAACAAAATTTCAGATTCACTGAACAAGGCATGACAAATTTATGCAGCGAGTTTCATCAGCTTTGTGCAAGTGGGTCAGATTTACACGCCATATGAAAAAAAACCTCACTTTCAGAATGTCGATACAGTGCTGGAGACGGTGGCGGAAGGCACGTGCTGTGGCTGAAAGCTTCTGAAGGAATGCAGGATCACCCCTGATGTCATTGCACACCTCCTCGATCGTGTGCTGCACTGAACGTCGGAGGAGGTGTGCAATAACATCAGGGGTGATCCTGCATTCCTTCAGAAACTTTCAGCCACAGCATGCGCCTTCCGCCATCGTTTCCAGCGCTGTATTGACATTGGAGGACGCCAAGTTGAAAGTGGCAGATTCTAAAAGTGAACATTTTTTGGTATGGTGTTTAAATCTCACCCTCTTGTACAAATTTGGCTGATGAAATGCCCTCCACAAAATTTGTCATCCCTTGATTACATCTGAAATGTTGGTACAATTCCATTGTTAAACAACAGAGTTATTTTTAGGATCAAAAGTAGGACATGTATGTTTTTACACATAGTACATGTACATGTACACGTTCATGTATTGTACCGGTATGTATACATGTATGTACATTGTTCACCCAGTGGTTCCACTAGGGTACATGTTACAGTATGGTATCTCACAATGACACAAATTTAACATATTTTCACCATTTAGTGCTCAGCGGTTTCAAGGATTCAGGCATCAATGGGTCAAATTAAAAGTGAATTACCATATAAAAACAAACGAACTTGAAAATGAAAGAAACTACAAAACAAAAACACCCGAAAAGACCCCATGCCACCAGTACCTTAGTGACACTAGAACGGAAAGACATGAGATCAGGACCAGTAATGAACAAGAAACCACAACATACCAGGTACTGCCTCTTCAGTTCACTACTGTGCTACCAGTACATGTGAGAACTGGCTTGTTAACTTGAGAGAAATATAACCAAATACATTCATCATCTTTCCTTATTGCTAGCCCTGCACATTAAAATCATCTTTGCAGCACTTTTAAATTCCTTCTACCCTGGTACATGCACATGTTCATGTACACATTGAGACTTCACAATTGGTGTTATTCATGTACATATGAATTTCTCCTGAATGAATTAACATGTACTCGTCATTTGTGTTGTGATTATAAACCGCATGAACATTGTACATAGTACATCACGTACAACTGTACAAGAATACAAAAAAATAATCGATTTCTAAATTGCTATATTTATTTGAAGAATTTATAATGCCATGGTATCAATAAATGTAATAAGAGTATGTTAAACATTAGTCATGTTTAAACACATGTACCGGTACTGTAGTAAATTATCAGTCTGCATTAATTTGTGCAAATTGTATTCACTCAGCCTAAAAATATTATGCTTGAGATCAATGCTGGGACCACACACCAGTTTTACCATACAATTTTCAGGGGACACTAAGTCTCCACAACTTGGTCGAAATTGTCTTTATGTCATGATTGTACTGGAAAAAAACTTCTCCAAAACACAGTTGCACCAAGGGTAAAAACACCCGTTTGCACTTTGCACAGAGTAACAGAAATTAAAAATGTGCACTTGTAATGTGTACTAAATACAAAATGTATGTACGCGAGAGATGACACAAGTCTTGGGGGATACAAAGTTAAAAGTCTTGCTTCTATTGCAAATTTTTCTTTTCAAAAACACTGTCCTTTCGCAACAAATGAAGCAAAAAAAAAACACAACAAAACAAAAACCAAGCACATCCAATTAACACAAAAGATGACACTTAAGCTTAAATGTAGAGTAGATCATTTGCAGCTATTGACTTTGCAACTTTTGAATTGTAATCGAGATCCTAGAATATTGTTTTCTCTGAATATACAGCATTCACAGCTCTAGCTAAAACTTCACCAGGTTAGTTCTTAATGACCCTTCTTTATTAGATATTGGGCACTTTTGTTGCTTTAAACGGAAACAAAATGATGAAATGACAATTAAATGATATACTCTACCTTTAAACAATTCAACATTAAAAATCAACAAACAATGGCCAAAAAAACACAACAATAATTATTAGACAATACTTACGCAGTGTATATCCCGTTGTGTTGCCATATCCAATGCTTTCACCGATGGCATTCTTGGCATACACCCTGATCTCATACTCTGTGTAGTCATCCAGACCCGTTGCTGTGGATGTTGTCTTTCCACCTATCGGTATCTCGTCAGTGAAGACCACTTTGGACGGGTCTGATGACTTGAAGTAGCTGACACGGAATGACTGCTCCTCACCACCATCAAAGCCAGGTGTCCAACCCACAGTCAGAGACTCTGCCGTCCGCTCAGTGATCACAACTCCAGTAGGCTCGTCTGGTCGTCCTGAGATACAAGTATATAAATCAGCATTGTAAAGAAAGTTATCAACTTTCGACCCTGAGGGACTAAAAGTTAAACTGATTTGTGTCCCTTTTTATCAATTAACTAAGCAGTTTGCACCACAGGCCATGTATACATGCAAAAGTTTTCCAAAAATCAGATAAGATCACTGACAAACCCACAATGACAGAGGCCGGAAAATATCTGTCAGCAAGCGATAGCCAGAGACCGAGGGTGATGGCTCCCCCCCCCCCCCCCTCCGGCATAGCTGTCTAGTGAATATTAAACACGTGCCTCGGTCCGTTCATTTTAAAATATAATAAACCTTTACTTTCTCAAAACCCTTTTATCAATATTTCTATTGATTATCTGGAGTTTACAAAAATATGGAAATATAACAGGGGTCCCAAGGACCTTAATTCACTGGTCATATTTAGCTGGAGGGACTTAACTGAGGACAGTACCGGTATTTATTATTTGAATTTTGTGATAATGAAAGTACAAAGACTTGCCTTCAGATAAGAGTCACATGCAAGGGATGTATTTTATACATATTGTCCTGACAAGGATAAATAAATTGGGATAACGTGAATGCACTAAACTACATGTACTGGCTTACTTGTTCCATTGAGGGTGATGTTAAGTGAGTCCTCTCTCCCGATGCCATTTGAACTGATGCAGGTGTACACCCCATAATCAACCAGGGAATCTACTGCCTTGATGGTCAATGTGCTTGTGACCTCAAACCCCAAAACTCCATCTCCACCAGATGTCTCATTGGTGATGAGGAACTTGCCTTCGTCCATGTCACTGATTATCCCCATGGTGTTTGGACCATACCACTCCATGACTGGCTGAGGATTGCCCACCGCAACGCAGGTTAAGACAGCATTATCACCATTGTTCACTTCTTCTTTATCATTTGCTTTATTGGTGATGTTCACCTCATCTGTGGGGAGAAAAGAAATTCCATTAACCCATTAGCACCTGTACTAGGCATATGTCAGAGAAAATATATAAAATGACACGTTAACATCTGTGGTTCCTCCTGGAATGACTCTCATTTGGTGCATCGCTGTACATCATGAAAATGGTCTAATTTCACTAACTTTTTAACAGCACAGAATTGTTTTCCATGGCAGAAGAAAGTACATTGTAGGTGAACCAGTTAAAATGTCAATGCTTGCCACTAGTTCTCAGCGAAATTCTGACACGCAAGTAAATGCAGAAAGTAATAGCATATGCCTATTTAAGATGATTCCTTAAGATTGGGCTCTATGCGCAAAATTCGAGGAAACTTACAGTGCACAATAAGAGTAACTGAATCTGACACCACGTCATCATTTGGGTCAGCTGTAGGCACCCCGTTGTTAGCTTGGCACATGTAGTACCCAGCCTGCTCCCTCCTGATGTTACTCAGAGTCAGTGTACTATTGAATTCATTGTACACCGAGCTGAATGCTTCACTTGAGTCTTGCTTCTTCCAAGTGATGTCACTAGGCCTAGGATTGGCATCTACAGTACATGCAAGGGTTACATTACTGCCCTCAACAACTGGTTCAGTTGGAGTCTTTGTAGGTTGGGACAATACTGGAGGATCTGTTGGTTACAAATAATCCATGCATTCAAAGGAAAAATAAAGCATTCATTACAAAAATGTACCCTTACTTATTCTTCAAACCAATTTGAACCAAGCAGCGGACACTTCTCATATCTTCTCAAAATGAAAATAAAAATTTAACAGATTATGCAGAAAACATTAAATGAATGACTTATGAGAAAGGTTAGATAGGAGGCGGAGTGAATAAAAACCAAAAACATATTTAAATACTTGACAAAATAATGTGAGACAATGAAGCAGTCCGCCTGGTTTTATACTCGTCTCCCTGTGACATGTATACATACAGATACATACACAAAGTAACAGGAAAAAACAAACTTACATCGAACATCAAGTGTGCACATGTCACATACATGTAGATTGGAAGCACATGTAATAGCAATGTTGGTAGCACAACACTTGAACTCTTCGCCATTGTCGGTCTTGCTTAGTTCAGCAGTTGTGTATCGTCTTGTAGTGACTTCTCCTCCATAAGCACCGTTGGGATCGACTTGAGGAGTTTCACTGGTCAACTCCACGTTGTTCTTATCGTACCAAGTTAGATTGGTTTCTGGATTACTACTCTCTGATGTACAACTCAAGGTTGCTGTGTTGCCTGCTGTAACTACTGGACACTGAGCACTCACAATTCTTGCACAAACTAAAAACAAGCCAGAATTGAGACCTTCGATTATCCTCAAAAAAGGTGAAATGGAATTTTGATGGCCTTTACAAATCCCATTATTCTTAACTAGGCTTCGCCTCAACCGCTACGCAGGGGAGGCAGCACAGCCGCATGTCGCCCCCTTCCCGTGCGTGCGGTGGTCATTCCATTGTCTTCACGTATTTTTTTTTTTTTTAATGGAGAAAAAACTTATTTTACTTGCAATTTCAATACTCTTTCAACCTAATTTTTTTTTATCATGATTCCCTTGAGTGTTCCTATTCTTCATTTTGTGACAGATAACACAAACCCCAAAATGTCTCTTAACTAGCTTTCAGAGAGTGGCAAACCTTGTGTGGACCTGGTTTAATCCACAGAAGGTTCACACAACCTGCATTGTGTGGACCTGTTTTGTTTTCAGGCCCACACAAAGATGGCAAGGTTGGCACACACCCTTTGTACTTGATAGTATAACTGTGATGAATTCCACAAGTACAATGAAAAATTAACATCATAATATAAGGATCCATTCAAACCAATAGCACACAATTACTGTAACAATCATTTTTTTCTTATTGCATAGTGTGAATAAACACTTACACTGAACATCAATAGGTCCATACGAGCCCTCCCTGCCTGGGATCCATGACCCTCCCTCTGCAGAACAGTTGATGACAGTCCTGCCATTGTCCTCTCTTGATGGAGTTATATCCAAGTTGCTTGTAAACAGGTAACGATCGCTAAATGTTAATGAATCCTGGTAAGTCGTATTTGTACTGTCAAACCCCATAGTTCCATTGGACCATTCCAGTTGCCAGTTATTTGGGTAACCCTTGTCTGCTGTGCATATAAGTCTTGTTTCTGCACCCTCCATCATTGGTGTACTACTCGTGATCATTGGATTGTCTGGGGGACCTATTGAAAATGTCAAATATACGATTATTCATCATGTTCATTAATAAGGGAATAAATGTGTAATCGGGAGGTATTATAACACTCCGTTTAAGACCGGTGGGAGTCTGGATGGGTGATAATTACCCGAGGCGAAGCTGAGGGTAATTATCACCCATCCAGACTCCTAGCGGTCTTAAACAGAGTGTTTAATACATATTTATTCCCATTCATAAATACCTTTTCGGTCAAAAAACAAATCTTTTTGGTCTAAAAATCAAAACAAGTCATAATCTAGATGTTGCCAACCATCTTTCATGTTTTACAAAACATCCCTGTGACTATAATATGGAATGCCCTCCACAACTCGTTACCTTATAAGGACAGTGGAGTGCGTGTCGCGCATACTGCGCAATGTCGCGCACAACGCAGCTGGGCTGGTGTAGTGTAAATTTCGGACCATGAAATACTGATTCACTGGTAGTATTGCGCATGCATACGCAAGGAATGTGAACGTTCAACCAATGAAACGTTAGAAGGCACCGGATTTCATGGGAGTCCAAATCTTATGCGACACTGGAAAAGTGTTTAAGACCAGCCAGCCATGTCTTTATCATCCATTTAAGACTGGCCACGTGACGGGCTCTCAAATAGGAATGCGTAAACTGTCTTAGGTATTTATGAATGCTGCATAGTAAATAAACATGTGAACTTGTTAGAGGGTTACAGATAAAACAACAACATAACACCCCTGAACATACATACACGTGAAACAGCACGCACTGACATGTTGAACTAAAGTATGTCTCTTCATAATTGGTACCAGTTACTTGGGCCCTTTTATACTTCAAACAAATTGTACATATGTTTCTACATGTACATGTACAATGAAAGGCAATATTAGCTGTTTTTGCTAGACAAATTTATGTACGTGTATGAGTTTGCTTTACATACATGTACTTTGCAAGTGAAATCACTGTGCGGCATCAAGGTGAATTTTTCATAACATGCGTAAAACAATTCAGGTAATACTTGTTCAGGCCTATGTACTTGGAACATTATTGTCCCTGACCTTGTACTCGTGACTCAATCATTTGACATCTTGCAGTATTTTCAATTTTTAAATATATAGATTTGAAAGATTCTTTTCTTTACATTCAGGAGAATGTTCAATTGCAGATACGGACTATTAAATTCCTATCATAATGTACATACCATATACATTCAGTGTAATCTCTGCAGATGGGTATGGTTGCTGCGACTCTAAAGTGTTGGCTACACACTTCACCACCTGTCTGTGATTGGCTCTGACTGGAGTGAACGTCCAGGTGCCTGCCGTATCTATCAATCCATTTGAAGAAGATTCAGTCAGGGTTTCGACCCCAGTTGATGGTGCGACATTATCCATAAACCACTGAATTGTGGCAGCTGGTCTGGTACCCTGTACCAAGCACGTCATTGGGTACGGTGTTCCCTCAGTAACATTCACTACCTCGCCAGGTGCCTTGTCACCGTTTGAATCGGATAATTTCACTTTTGTTGGTGGCACTACAGAAAAAAACATGTACAGGTATATACATGTACAATACATGGGTTGAAGTGACCAAAGTAAACGCTCGTCTTTTACCAATCGTACATATTGTGGCGGTCTGTGTCGACAATGCCTTGGATATTGCTCTCTGCCGACCCGACGAGCGGCTGTGGGGAAGGCCAGGGGAACAGGTCCGTTTTGGGGCAGTCTACCGCCAGGCGCTCAGGGAACACACTCACTCGCGCTCTCACGCAAACCTCACGAACACACTCGGGGAAGGGTTAACGTCCAATGAATAGATCAGACACTCGGGTATTTAGGGCTTCACTGCTTTATTATAACCACTTGGAGACCCAATAAGATGCGTCCTACTTAGGTGCGTCCTAATAAGGTGTGTCCTACGTAGATGTGTCCTACTTAGGTGTGTCCTGCTCAATGGTAAGAATTGGCCCCTTTCCAATAATCGTCGAGAACTGGAATGCTTCCCGTACCAACCAGATTTCCTAATCCCTACACTCACCGGAACTAAACCAGTGCTCTTCCTGAGTGAGAGACTGACCACCGCTGTACTACACACGCTCCAGCAACTCCAAGTCTCTGAGCGGGAACTGTGCTACGCTTCGCGCCACAATTAACAGCTAAAGCACACAACGTGAGCAGTGCAATGGGAGAGTGCAATCATGGACGAGTGAAATGGAAGAGAGTGAGTGCGCGCGCGACACGCGCTTATATACCCGCGCTGGGTACCAACCAGCCACGCTACTCGCGCGCTGTACAACGGACAGAAGTCCGCGTACCAACCAACTAAACTACGGTGAACCTAGCGCGCCAATATTAACTGTTCCGCTACACAGCCGCGCCCCAGGTTTGGTCAGTCCCTTGACCTTAAAAACTGATAACAATAAGGAACAGTTATAAAAACTATAACTCCTAACAAGGTGCTCTGCCACCTTTGGCTAACTTAAATAAAGCTAAACTTAATAACAGTCAAAAAATGTCTCATCTGGAATCCTTGTACAAAATAATTTGCTGACCTACTTAGGTCCTTATACAAAATAACGGTTTGACCTACCTCGGCCTTATACAAAATAATGGTTTGACCTACCTAGGTCCTTATACAAAACTCTCCTTTAGTTTACAAGAAAACAAAACTTTATCAAAACGAAACTTTATATAAAACAGTTCAAAATGCCTCTTCTATTACACACTTGAACAAGTGTTTAAAAAATGTTACCAAAAAAGATCCTCAACAGTTCAACAAACAGTTCAACAAAGCCTCTTTAGGTAGACGTTATCCTTATAGCTTCTAAGGATCCTGTGCAACTCCAGCCAGGAAGTCCACGTCGTAGGTGCGCTGTAGTTTGTCCTTGGTCACTTTGTTGCCTTCATGGTACACCTGTCGTGTAGTAGTCTCCATCACGCGGTTGACTCTACCCATCATGGCACTGATGAGATCCTCATCCGAATAAGGTGTGCCGACTGAATCACCATCGGTCTTCATCAACCTGCATAGGCGACCTTCTCCCTGTGATGTTGGACTTGGTGAGGTTTGTTGCTCTGTCGACCTCTTTGCCTTGAGGTGTCTCAAGTAAACGACATCATACTCACGTGTCGTCGAGCCTTGGAGTGTCTTGTCTCCATCTCTGTACAGGTAGGTTTCCTTAACCTCCTTGATCCGGACTGCCTGTCCCGGTAGCAGCCTGTCTAGGTGCAGTGGTGTTGACATGACTGGGATGCTCTCTCCCCCCTTAGCGGTGGTTTCCTGACCATCGCGTCGTTTGGCCTCATTCCTCATCAACTCTATCATCGCTCGCGGCTTCCCTCTCGGCGGCATGCCTGGCTCCTCATGGCTGTGGGGCTCCTCTAAATCCATCATCAGCGGAGGGGTAGGCGACAGTGTGATCTCTGGGAGCTCTCCACTCCCGCTGTCACCTAAGATTGCTGCTATTTCCAGCTCCACAGCAACATCTGGTACTTCAACTACTTCCGGCCCCTTCGCTTCTCCTTTCGCCCCCATCTCTGGTGCTACGTTTAAAGCCGACGGCGTCTGAAGAGTAGAGCTCGGCCTTGGCTCATCAGGCTCATCGCGAACACTGGTACTGCTTCGTACCTCCTCCTCCTCAGGTGCACGTGAAACTGTCGATGGCGCCTTCTTCTCTTTGGGACGCTTCCTAGTCACTTCTTCCTCATCTTTCTTGTCCCGGCTACGCTTCTTTGTAGCGGCAGTAGGTCCACTCTCGCTCCGTCCAGCAGAACGCGACTTGACCTCTGGTTGGGAACCTGGTTCACCCCGTTTACCTTTAGGTGACTTTTTGCCTCCTAGGCGATGCCTTTCTGCCTCGCTCCTGGTACGCGCCTCACGCTCCCTGTCCTCATAGGACTCAGCCTTGATCCCATTCACCTCAGCCAGGCAGGACGGATGACAATCTTTATAATGATTCAGCAGATTATCCCGCCGATTGTTCTTGTGTGAACACTGCCGGCACCAATAAAACACTCGTGGCCCATGCTCCACTGTCAGATGTCGGTCCAGACTCCTCCGATGTAGAAACACACTGTGGCATTTCGGACAGTCTATTGTCTTCGCCTCGTCTAGGTCCAGTGGAGTCCTCTTTGCTGGCGAGTCTCGACCCATGTTTATCTCCTGACAAATGATGAAAAGAAATGAATCTCGTGAGTGTCTCATGACTAGTTAAAGAAATGGCTCGGGCATTCTGTAGCACGCTCACACACGCATTCAGTTAAACGCATGGGTTCCCCTCACGGCCTGGCCTGTATAGGTTCATGCCCCCGGCTGTTCCCGCACAACCTTACAAATAGCGTTGTGGCCTTCGCCTGTGTCTAGGTGGGTTTCTTCTCCCCGCAGGCGTAGGTGTCCTGTCCTGGTCTCTATGTGTCGTTACTGTAACATCATTAGTTTCCCTAGGTGTATCTTGCGTCTCTCCATCCATGTCTTGTGATTCTCCGACTAACTCCGCAGGTACATCAAATCGGATGTCTTCTTGATCTCGAGCTTCTGCAACGGTCTCTTCATCTTGTCTCGGCGGTTGACAGGGCGACTCTGCCGTCCATGGTTTTAGCGGCCGACCTTGGTAAGGTTTAAGTCGGTCAAAGTGGACAACCTTTTTCCTACCTCTTGGCTTTTGCTGAATTCTGTACGTGACATCTGATAGCTTTTGCAGTATCAGGTAGGGCCCTTCCCATCGTCGTTGTAACTTTGGCGATAGGCCCTTTGTCTTGCTTGGGTTGTGTAGCCACACGAATTCTCCTGTCTTCAGTTTGGCTCCTATCGTTTTCTGATCGTAGCACTTCTTCTGTCTCCTTGCACTACATTTGAGTACTTCCCTTGCCCGCTCGTGGGCTAACTGCATATCTTCTCTCAATTGAAGAGCATAGTCTGTTTCTTCGCTAACTTCACCATCCTTTGCAGTAACTCGAGTAGTCAAATCGAGCGGCAGGTACAATTCTCTGCCTAACATGAGCATGTTAGGTGTCTCACCGGTTGACTCATGAGGCGTTGAACGGTAGGCGAATGTAGCTAGCATCACCTTCTGGTCCCAATCACGTTGCCGTTTGTGAGGATCAATCATAAGGGAGACCATACTCAACAAAGTCCTGTTAAAACGTTCAATCATCCCGTCGGATTTCGGGTTATATGGGGTTGTTCTCGTCTTCCTAATACCTAGGATGCTACACATCTCGGTGAAGACATTCGATTCGAAATTCCGTCCCTGGTCCGAGTGTAACTCTATCGGAACGCCAAATCTGCTCACAAATTCCGATACAAACTTCTGGGCCACAGTCTCTGCTTTCTGATCCGGGATCGGGTATGCTTCGACCCATTTACTGAGGTAGTCTCCTACTACCAGCACGTATCGATTACCTCGCTCTGTCTCAGGGAGCGGTCCAAGTATGTCGAGTGCCACTCGCTGCATCGGGGCGCCTACAGCATACTGCTGCAACGGTGCTCTTCTTGTTCTTGCAGGTGACTTCTTTGTTGCGCACAGGTTGCATTGTCTCACGGAAGACCTTACATCAGCGCTCAACCCGACCCAATAAAACCTATGGCGCACCTTCGCCAATGTTTTCCTCTGTCCCAAGTGACCTCCAGTCTCACCACCATGGAGTTCCTGTACAATCTCTTCACGGTGTGGCTTGGGTATGATGACTTGATACTTGATTACGTGGCCTTCATCGGATTCCCATCTCCTACATAGGAGTCCGTCTCTAACTTCAAGTTGGTCCCAAAGCAACCAGTACGTCTTCACTGCAGGCGATGCTGGCGTCATTTCTGCCCATGCTGGCCTCTCACCAGAACCAAGTTTCGCCTTCAGAATCCAACCTAGTGTCTGATCCTCCTGCTGGGCCTTTCCCAATAACTCCTGTGTCACTGTAGGTTCCATAGTCACGATTCGCACCGTAGGTGAATTTCCTTCTTTTGAAGTCTTCATTGTCTCTTTCTCCTCATGCCCCTCGGCACCTGCTGCCAACTCTTTGCCCTCTCGGCCACATTGAGTACATGGTCGCCTCGAAAGCCCATCTGCGTTCCCGTGGGACCTTCCAGCACGATGAACTATGGTGAACTCATATTCGCTCACCACCTGCAACCAACGGGCGATCTGTCCCTGTGGGTCACGAAAGTTTAACAGCCATCGGAGTGCTCCATGGTCCGTCCGGATGGTGATTTTTCTCCCGTACACGTAGGAACGAAATTGTTTCAGGAATACAACTACGGCGAGAAGCTCCCTACGTGTTACACAATAATTTCTTTCTGGCTTGCTAAGGACTCTGCTACCGTATGCAATAACCCTTTCCTGACCATCGACGACCTGTGAAAGGACAGCGCCTATACCGACGTTGCTCGCATCTGTGTCGAGTACGTAATGTTCCTCTGGACTGGGATACGCTAAGATAGGTGCTTCCTGTAGAAGTTTCTTCAGCATTTGAAACGCATTCTCGGTCTGGTCGTCCCATTCGAACTGTCTCCCCTTTTCTGTCAGGCGGTGCAGTGGCCGAGCTATGTCGGCGAACCCTTTCACAAAACGCCTGTAGTATGATGCTAGACCTAAAAAGCTCTGCACCTCAGTAACTGTTGTAGGTGTAGGCCACTCACGCACTGCCCTGATCTTCTCTGGATCTGTCGCTATGCCTTGACTAGACACAATGTGTCCAAGGTACAAGACCTGCCTCCGAAACAGTTCACACTTCTTCGGCTTTAACTTCAAACCAGCATCGCGTAGGCGTTGGAACACCACCTTCAAGCGTCTCAGTTCATCCTCCACTGTCTTGGCAAATATGATAATGTCGTCGAGGTACACCAGAAGAATGTCCCACTGTAGGCCTGCAAGCACTCGCTCCATCAGCCTCTCAAAGGTCGAGGGCGCATTGCAGAGGCCGAATGGCATAACTCGCCAACAGTAGAGACCTCCCCGTACGACAAATGCCGACTTCTGCCGCGCCTCGTCGTCTAACTCCACCTGCCAATATCCTGCAGCTAGGTCCAAAGTGGAGAACCACTTCGCGCCTTCCAAGGTATCCAATGAGTCGTCGATGCGCGGTATCGGATACGCATCCTTTATCGTCAGGGAATTTAGGCGGCGGTAATCTATACAAAACCTCCTCGTCCCGTCCTTTTTCTTTACAAGTACAACATTTGCGGCCCAAGGACTGTCACATGGCTCGATTCTTCCATCTTCAAGAAGACTTTTCACCTGTCGGGTTATTTCTTCTTGCTCCACGGTCGGATATCTTCTGGGCCTTTGCTTTACAGGCACTGCATCACCGGTATTGATGTGGTGCTTGACCCAGTCTGTACGGCCTATGTCCCGATCTCCCTTAGAGAAGACGTCTCGGTAGTCCCTCAATAACTTCGCGATATCACTATGGTGCTCCTGATCAACCTCCGTCTTACACCGATTAAACAGATCAACAAGGTGCTCGGGCACATCTAGTCGGGCCGCTTTTTGTGACTCCACATCTCGTGTGCTTTCAATCTCCTTCTCACCTACAGGTGTGAGGTAACCCGCCATAGTTCCCCTATGAACTACACACTCTCTCTTGCCTGGATTGAAAACTCTAACCGGTAACACCTCTTGATCAGCATCAACTACTGCTCGGGCAACGATCATCCCCTTGTTCGCAATCTCGCTGCGGTCGACTGGCTCTAGAATTCCAAGACCGTTATGCTTCGCTTTTCCACTAACATGTCCCTGCAAGATTGCCTCATGTCCAGGTGGCACTCTGGTCGTCCGTCCAACGACTATCCTCGCACAGAATGCTGCTCCATAATCATCGCTGCATTTCACCCTTTCTCCATTTACTGTGAGCTCAAGTGTCCTAAAGTTGAGTGACCCACATGTTGGGTACAAAAAATCCATACCCAGGATTCCATCCATAGAGTGTAAATTTCCGAAGGTCGCGTACACTGGATGTGTCGTTCTTCCAACCTGTAACTCCACCCAGGCGCTACCTAACGTCACTATTCGCGAACCATCAGCATTTTTAATGCACGAACCCTCATTAGAAAGATGAGGCCTATTCTCAGGTGAGATCTTGTGGTAGAGAGTAGATGACAGAAACGTGTCTGTTGCCCCGGTGTCCACCAGAAGCTTCGCCTGCTGTCCCCTCACCACTGCTGGTACAAACATGCCCCTTTTCACTCTTTCTGCTGTTGCAATTGAATTGGTAATTACATGACCCTTGTCTATTGGTTTGTCTCGTGGACGACGGTCTTGTGGCCCTCTTCTCCTCCCAGCTTTCCCTCGGGCCCTGGGGTCAGCTGCGATCCGTTTCCCGACCCGTGTCTCTTTGCTGGCGGCCATTTACAGTCACGAGCGAAATGTCCTTTCCTCTCGCACCTGAAGCACACAATGTCCTCTCTAGGTCGTCTCCTGTAGGAGGTACTCGGAACGCCTTCTGTCATGTTTGGCTTGTCGTTCCCTGCACCTGTAGGTCTCCCTTGCACCAGGTTAGCCACCCACGCTTTTGTCTCTTCTTGAGCTCTTTGTATGGCCTCTGCCATCCGTTTCTGGCTATTTCTTACGAAATCTTCCAGCTTTTCCACCGAAGAGTCATTTTGTCCCTCTAGTACTCGTGCTTGCTTTGGGTTGCGACTGGGCCTCTGTTGTTCCACCTTGAGGAAACTCTCTGTCGCCATTGCTGCCCTTATAGCCTCATCGAGTGTCTTTGGCTGTGTCCTGAAGATTCCTTCACGGATGGCCTGGTCCTCTATCGCGTCCGAAAAGTGACCTCTCGCTAGGCGATCCTTCCCTTCGTCTGCTATCTCAGGATATGCCAGCGTGGCCAACTCCCTGATTGACTGACCTAGCTCCCTCAGTGTTTCCTTTGGTCCCTGTCGTCTGCAACGCAGCTCCATCAAGTGGTTTTCCGACAATTGGCCCGGTCCGAATCTCCTCTCCAGCCTGTCTTTTAATTCTTTATACGTCATCGTTTGACTACCATCCGGACTGTTTGATAGCACCTTCACCGCTATCCCCTGCAAGCTCGCAGCCAAGAAGACTTTAGCTTGTTCGTCCGTCCACCCGTTAGCGAGTTTGCACGCTTCAAAATGCTGCCAAAAATCCCTCCATACAGTCTTGCCGTTGTACCGATCTGGTACGATATTAGGTCGCTTCAACTCTGCAGGCGAACGGCCGTCTCTCTTCACTTCAACCACCGGCTCTCGCCTATCTAGGCTAGACCTGTCCTCGCCTGAAACTTGCTTTTCTGGCTCTGATGCTCTTCCGGCTGCACCTGCTGAGAAATTTCTCTCCATTGACCACCCTTTTTCTGTATCAGCATTACTCTTGATTTCTTGATGGGACGCTTCTACCGATGTTGAAGATGTGACTGGTGTATTTGTAGGTACCAGTAATGAAGACGATAGTGTAGGATACCTGGTTCTGGGTTTTGGCGTAGGTCTGCACCTTGGCATAGGTGTTGACGATGATATCAGGCTACTTGATGCATCTCTTACAGTGTCAAGGTATCTGAAACTCGTTGTTGGTAACTCCACTTGGGCACCTGCCTCTGCATCCACCTGCCGACTTTCAAGTTGCACCCTTCTCGTCTCCAGTTTGTCTAGCTGTTCATGGAGTTGACCCAATTTTGCCCAGAGCCTCTCAGTCTCAACTTCTAGGCGTTGTTGCTCCTCCGCGTACTGGGAAGTTTCAGCCGCGTCCTCGGTCAGTTCCTCTATTAGTACCGGTCTAGGTTGGTTTACTTGTTTCTTGTCCATGACGTACGCCTATCTGGGTGACTCTGTCCTAGGTAGGTGATTGTTTGCTCGTAGTTCGTGATGGGTTCTGTGTTGTGTAATCCTGGCGCCTATCCCACTTCTGACACCATTTGTGGCGGTCTGTGTCGACGATGCCTTGGATATTGCTCTCTGCCGACCCGACGAGCGGCTGTGGGGAAGGCCAGGGGAACAGGTCCGTTTTGGGGCAGTCTACCGCCAGGCGCTCAGGGAACACACTCACTCGCGCTCTCACGCAAACCTCACGAACACACTCGGGGAAGGGTTAACGTCCAATGAATAGATCAGACACTCGGGTATTTAGGGCTTCACTGCTTTATCATAACCACTTGGAGACCCAATAAGATGCGTCCTACTTAGGTGCGTCCTAATAAGGTGTGTCCTACGTAGATGTGTCCTACTTAGGTGTGTCCTGCTCAATGGTAAGAATTGGCCCCTTTCCAATAATCGTCGAGAACTGGAATGCTTCCCGTACCAACCAGATTTCCTAATCCCTACACTCACCGGAACTAAACCAGTGCTCTTCCTGAGTGAGAGACTGACCACCGCTGTACTACACACGCTCCAGCAACTCCAAGTCTCTGAGCGGGAACTGTGCTACGCTTCGCGCCACAATTAACAGCTAAAGCACACAACGTGAGCAGTGCAATGGGAGAGTGCAATCATGGACGAGTGAAATGGAAGAGAGTGAGTGCGCGCGCGACACGCGCTTATATACCCGCGCTGGGTACCAACCAGCCACGCTACTCGCGCGCTGTACAACGGACAGAAGTCCGCGTACCAACCAACTAAACTACGGTGAACCTAGCGCGCCAATATTAACTGTTCCGCTACAATATGTACATGTACAATCATGCTGCATTTATGACTTGTCTTGCTATAATCACAGTGAGAATCTTGTTATTATGTTTAAAACCATGACTGCATGTACATGTATACAATATTGATAAGTTTCAGCGACCAGGAGAAGGAAATACTGGTAATGTGTTCACCAATCAGTCACTGATGAGTGAACGTTTGTTCACGTTCATTGAATGTTGCAGAAATGTTGGAGACATTGAAATGCTCTACCTCTGACTTGAAGAGTAACAGTGATGCTCATATCTGCAATGTTTGATCCATCTTGTCTATTGGTAGCACCACAAGTCAGCTGAGCATTCGCTGGTGTCTTTGCGATGTTTACAGTGATCGTGTTGGTGCTGTCTGTCAACCTGCTGTCGTCGCTATTAGGAGTTTCTGTCTGAGATCCTAGTGGCTGGTCTGAAGTGATGCCAGCAGATAGAATCCAAGTGAACTTGGTCGCTGGCTTGACTCCAGGTGTGGTACAGCTGAATGAATGGTTGTTTCCGGCAACAACAGGAAAGGACACCCCATCGCTGTATGATGCACCGTAGTAAGTGATTGCAAGAGAACTCGGTGGCACTGTGGACCAATGTAACGTGTACATGCCAAGTGAATACAGCATAACCTTGTGTTCCGCCCGAGTCTTTGGTATACTGTACATACAACCTTAATTTTAATTTAGTTGTATTTGGGGAGGTTGGAAGGCGTTCGTATTTCTACTTTGTTTTATGTGCAATTTTATCGCTTTAAGTTACTCCATTTCTATGGTAATTTTTTTTTTTTTTTTTTTTTAATCCTTTTTGAATAATATGGCCGGCTGCAACGGGGGTTGTCAGTTTCAGTGCAATTTAGTCATTCTAGTTTTATTTCTTAATGAATTGCTCTTAACAAAACTTGTTTTTATTAACCTATCTGTGCTCGTATTGTCATGGTCCTGTCTTTGTTTGTACCATTATCTTGATTTTCTTATATAATGTGAGGCCCCAAAGGATCAGAAATTGCTGAATGGTTTACTCACATTAAAGATGGTTTTAAAGAAATGAAATAAAATAAAAACCTCATTTCTTTAGGGCTGGGTATACCAATTGCCACACGACTCCAAATTTATTTGCTATATACACCTGTAGCATGCAAATGTCAGTACCTATTTTATTGAAATGAGAACGGATTTTGTTCATAGCACGCAAACAAATACTGATGGCATATAACACTGGTCATTCAAATGAAATGGTTGTATTTACTTACCTCTTACTCGCATCGCTGTTGAGTTAGAAGAATATGGTCCTTCTCCGGCAACATTGGTATAGCAACCATAGTACCTTTCATCTGCTAATGTGACTGATTTGATGGTTAGAGGATAATCACTTTGAGTTTCATCAAAAGTATAACGGTTTTGATCTGAACCCCAAATAACCGTGCCTAATTCCAATCTCACAATATTAAGACACGATAGGCTATAATCGCAAGATTGTTCACTCAGAGAATATTTTCTCCAACGCAATTCACGTAGTGTCCCCTGAGACGGTAGACAGGTCAATGTTGTTGCTTGGTTGATATCCACCCATGGTTCTATGGTGACAGTGGGCAGTGTCACAACACATGCAACTGAAAACAAAACAAGTTTCACACATGTAAGAATTTTTTGAAATAATTTCCTTTTTTCCTTATAGGCCTATTTCTTATAGTCTATTTTTAAAAGCGGAGAACAATATACATTGCAAGCTTCTTGTGTGGACATCTGCAACCCTCAAAAAGGCATTTACAACATGTACACATTTTACTTAAAATAAAGCCATGACAGCTGCATACATTTAAGATTCAGTCATCAGTTATATAAATGTAGGATTTTTATGCACTCGTAAATAAGTTTTGTATTTATTTCAGGTTGAACAAAGAAATTGACTGGAGGTTAATTCCGGATAAGAGTTGCGAACTCAGGAATTTTCAAAGTACATTTTCTAAGTAAATCATTTTTTTTCTTGGAAAGTACATGTAGACAAACAAAGCTTTCAGAAACAGTTTTTTTCTTCTTCTTCTTCCTCTTTTTCTTCTTCTTCATTTGGATGTTTATTTTTATCACGCTTGAAGTTTCGAGAAACAGAAGTAGCTTTTTCCCCCTATTTTGTGATGGAAATTTGAGTTCCCCTCTGTTACAGTTCTTACATGTATGCTTTAAACATGTTATTGGTTGACTTTGAAGTGTGATAACATTCCTACATGTACATGTATACGCAAAGTAGAATTTTAAACCCAAAGATAAAACATGAGTCTTGACCATTTTGAAATAATATCATGTTGCAATGTCCCATCCGTCACAAAAAAAAATGAAAATATAATTACATAATCACTCTTGGAGGTAGAAGGCATGAAAAAATGTGTTGGAATTCCCACTTTGCTTTGATTCCCACTTTGCCCACGACACAGGCACACGAAACTGCTCAGTCGTACGCCCGGCAAAGTAGCAATGCATCCAAACTATATTGACAATTGTCATGATTGTACAAAGTTTTCAATTTGATGAAAGTCATTTGATGAAAGTCATGCGAGACCTGTTTGTCACATTGGCTGCATCCAAACCTTAAATTTTGATTTTACTTGCTACAGATAAGGGGTGTTAAAATTACCCAAATTGTTGTTAATATTCCTACATGTACATTGCGCTGCTACTGATCCTGGGCAAAGTGGGAGTTTCTGTCAATGTTCATGTAACTGCTACATGTAGGCCTACATATTTACAATACTAGTGAGATTTTGGGGTGGGATAATTGTATCCAGATTGAATAAGCTTCTTGTTACATTTGGCCTTTTTATTGTATTCCAAGGTGCGTACATAGTAAGAGATTTAAAGGAGATAACTTTATGACCACTGGACACGGGAATTAATTTTTATCAGTTATTTAGTGTGAAAATAGGGCACAAAATGGACACCAAAATGTGACATGCAACATAAGGGGTTAGAACCTTTCTATTTCCGGATAAAATGTTATTTATTTTACTTCTTTTTGACAATTGTTTTCCATAAAAGCTTCTTGTTATACATGTAAATACCAGAAGTTCCGTGGAAAATACTTGAAATTTCTGGGGAAAAATGAGGAAATATGAAAACTGTAACGGTTGTAACATCTGGTGTCCAACATGTTACGAACATAACATGGGCATAACATATAACAACAACTGAAAACAGACATGTCTTGATTGAAAGTGGAGTGATTGTGAACCATCAGCAGTCATGACATACAGTGTATTGTTAAACAGTTTTTATCGTCTCCATGTGCTTTCCATGTACAAAAAAATCATGTTAAGAACACAGATCACTTTGGTGTCCAACTGTTACAAACGTAACATTCCATTTTTCCTCCTACACAGAGTGAAGCAAATTGAAACAATTCGCTTTAAACTATATTTGAAGTGAAGCTACCCATGCATACATCTTGTACTATCCTCAATTCATAACATTCAAATATAAATTAAAAATACCCGGTAGTTGCACGGTAGAACTTTGGTGTCCACACAATTGATACGTGTTACATGTACATGTACATACGTTACAGCAAAATGTGAAATTTGTAAAATAGGCGACATTTTACATCACATTTTGATGGGGGGGGGGGCTTATTCAATAAGTAAGAGATTTAAACTAGGGGATAACTTTATGACCACTGGACACGGGAATTAATTTTTATCAGTTATTTAGTGTGAAAATAGGGCACAAAATGGACACCAAAATGTGACATGCAACATAAGGGGTTAGAACCTTTCTATTTCTATTATCCCACCCTAAAATCTCACTAGTATTGTGAATATATGTAGCAGTTACATGAACATTGACAGAAACTCCCACTTTGCCCAGGATCAGTAGCAGCGCAATGTACATGTAGGAATATTAACAACAATTTGGGTAATTTTAACACCCCTTATCTGTTTTTCATAGGCTCTTTCAGTGGTCTTTGGACTGTAGTGTTATTCCTTAGCTGTGGAAAACAGCAACAATTATCCCCATTTCCAAAATACCCAAACCAGTATAGTACTAAATGATTTCAGACCAGTAGCTCTAACATCAGTAGCTATGAAATGCCTGGAGAAAATTATCAAGGAGGTTTTGCTTGTCCAGACAAAAGAATTTGTTGACCCATTTCAATTTGCTTTTTGTCCTAAACGTGGTGTAGATGATGCTGTTCTAACATTTATGCATGCTATTTATGAACATCTAGATAGACCCAAAAATTATGTTAGGACTCTTTTTGTGGATTTTTCACCTGCATTTAATACGATTCAACCACATGTTTTGGTTAAGAAACTACAGGGTATGAACGGCAATCCCCAGATTTCTTTGTGGATTAGCAGATTTTTGTTAGATGTGTACAGAGAGTTAAGTTTTCGAATTCCTTTTCAGATACAATTAGCATAAGTACTGGAGCTCCCCAAGGCTGTGTGCTTTCCCCTGTCTTGTTTTCTCTCTACACAAGTGATTATAGGAGCGGTAACATGTCTTGCCCTGTGATTAAGTAGGCTGATGACACTGCACTTAGGCCTACCGGTAAAATCTCTTCAAATGATGAAACTTTTTATCGTTGTGAAATTGATAATTTTTTGAATTGGTGTAGTCAGAATTTTCTAGTTGTAAATGTAGAAAAGACCAAAGAAGTTGTATTTGATTTTCGGAAGACTGAGAGTAACATCGAACCATTTTTTATCCATGGCCAAGAAATTGAGAGAGTGACAGAATACAAATACCTTGGAACGATTATAGACAACCAATTAAACTGGAATGGAAACACTCACAAAATAGTCTCTAAAGCTAATCAGCGGATGTCTTTTATCAGAAAGCTCAAATCCTTTAAGGTGTGCAGAGAACTACTTCATCTGTTTTACCAGAGTGTGATTCAATTTGTAATGACATTTTGTGTATGTGTGTGGCATGGCCCTCTAACGGTTAGGAATGCATCGAACGTGTAACCAAAACTGCTTCTAAGGTGATTGGTATGGATGTTGGAGACCTTCAAGTCATCTTTCAGGAGGTAACATTGAAAAAAACTTAAGTCAATCATGCAGGACCCCACCCACCCAATTCATCACCTGGTAACTGTGCAAAAATCTGGGAGAGTCAGGCCTCCACGCACAAATACACAACGTTTTAGAAGATCATTTTTGCCCAACTCATGCCACCTTTTTAATTCCACTTTTAAAAGATGATTTTATCTTTTTAAATAAATCATGCTTCCACATACAAATCGCTTTTAAAGAGATCTACTTGCCCAAGTCATACAAAATTTTAATTAATTAATTAATTAATTATCACTTTTAAAAGATGATTTTATCATTTTAAATAAGACTGAAAATGGTGTACTCGTTTGTATTCATATTGTGTTTGAGTGTGATTGTAAGCTGTTTTGATAAATTGTTGTGGATTTGTCTTGTCTTTTAAACTGTTTTGAACACACGGGGTGTTGATTTTCATGTTTTTAATCATGATGGTTAATAATAAATTGAATTGAATTGAATTGAATTTTAGCAAGTAAAATCAAAATTTAACGGGCACAGTACCGGTATTCTTCTGTGTAAATGTTCGCATGACTTTCATCAAAGTACATTGAAAACTGTGTATAATCATGACAATTGTCAATATAGTTTGGATGCATTGCTACTTTGCCGGGCGTACGACTGAGCAGTTTCGTGTGCCTGTGTCGTGGGCAAAGTGGGAATCAAAGCAAAGTGGGAATTCCAACACATTTTTTTCATGCCACCTTGTCGCCCCCCCCCCCAGTCGCCCCCCCCCCCCCCCCCCTGAAATTTTGAGTTTTTAAAAAAATTATCATTGATCTACATGACGCCCCCCATGAAATGTTCCAGCCCCCCCCCCAGCGACCCCCCACTGAAAAATTCCTGGCTATGCCACTGTTCAAAAGACAAAGTGATTGTAATAATATACAATTTATAGTGACTAAAATTAACCAACAGCAAAATTTGCAGTGTTTTCTGTACATTTTATGTAATGTATGTAACGACGTCTTTCAGTACATTAATAAATACCTTGGAGAGTTGATGGTTTCTGATTGGTCGAGACTCGATCACGTGGCCGGGCATTAACGGTGATAATGGACTGGCTTCAAAGATCAAGCGAATAAATGCCCCCTGGGAGCCAGCATTGATCCTGCCCCGTTCAGCCCCATGCAAGCCAATGTTTGTTCAAATTATAGTATATATATATAGTTCGTCCTTCGAAATTCGAAGATGACAGCCAACATCTCCACACAAGTTGGTGTTGTGTGTTCGCAGATGGCTAATAAGTCCAATTCTAGCCAGGAAGCTACGGTCCAACACTGGACACACAAGGTTGGGGGTGGGGGTGGACACGTAGGGAAGCATCTAGCTGACGAGATTTTCGTTGCTGTCGTTTCAGCTCAGCCTCCCTGATGCGACGGGCTTCGAAGCTTGATGCACCTTCAGGTCAAAATATAGTAAGGCTGCCTCCGAATCTGTTGTCTAGAGCTAGGTCTAGGTCTTCGCTCCATTAGAAATACGCGGAGACGCGCTGACAATAGACGTAGCCGTAGCTCTGGAAGCCCGTTTCGGACACGGCCTAACAGTCCTGCGGTAGCTT